TCATTCTGACCTCTTCTTATGGTATGAAGTTTGAAATAAAATAAAGATGCTATCCTATGCAAATTTAGACAGAAAAAAGATCTGCTGGCTGAGGCATGCTGGAGCTGTAGTCCTTTTCCTATCTAAACCTGCATAGCATTGCAACCCAAGGGAATGGATTTCTTCAATCTTTAAATCTACAGAATTAAATTTGATGGTTGAAGGGTTGAGAAGATGTACTTTGCTTCAGTGCATATGTGCATTACAGTTCTGGGAAAATATAAAAATATAGTACAAAGTTAAACGAAATCAGTAAAAAATAGAATTTGCACATGACTGTAAATTCTAGTTTGTATATGCAGCTAGCTTTATTTATTAATTTTTATACTGCCCGATAGCCCAAGCACTCTGGGCAGTTAACAAAAATTAAAAGGGACATACACATAATAATTTCCAGTCAGTTGAGAAATGGAGTCGGTCAGATGAAGAAACATGCAAGCCTGCAGGACATTCCCAATCTTCTAACTATGTTTAGGAAGTTATATAGTGTTAGGCCCACCCTGGGTCACAGTGATGCTGCATTGTCAATGCAGCATCAGCAAACTTTTGAATACTTAAGAATCCAAAAATTCTAAAAGCTCCTTTAGAAACTGAAATATGCAAGGATGGATAGTTTCACCCAAAATCACAATATAAAGCACAATCTCACTACTGTATCTATCATTTTTCCAAGTCATCTCCTCTACCAGCACATCTTTAAACAAGAAATGAAAACAAACTGTCCTTAACTATGGAAGGACTGGTAAACCCACACAACATTGCTATCTTGTCCTTCCTATAGCTGAAAGCAGCTAATGAGACATAAGCCTTGTTGGTTCAATCACATATCAACATTCATGAGGATAGCAAGGGAATTCCAAGACCAGGGATATTCCAAGACTAAGGCTACAAGCATGGGGAGGGAAGGGAATGCCAATTCAACACCAATGACGATAAAAAATAAAAATACTGACAGCTCGTTTAACATTTTAATTTATCTCTCAATATACACACTGGAATTACTAAATAATCACTTTCTGAAGTATTTGATATAAATAAATAAATCTCACAAAATTAAAATGTTTGTCACTTGAAAATAAAAGACTATGGATTGATTTCAATGAATTCTTGTTTATGCAATTACTGTGTGGAACCCAAACACTCCTATTGGTTCCTCTGATAGGCAGATGCATACAAATTACACTAATGGACATTAATTCTGAATTCTGTCTTAAGAACAGTAGAAATCTACCATAATGGCCCAATGTCCTTTCAACAAGCTGAATTTTGTATTTTGAGAACATACAGCTTTTGAGAGACATATATGGGCAGTTTGCACATAAAAACAATTTGCAGGGATGAAAACAAGTTGCTTCTGGATTTGCAGCAGGAACCGACACATACCTCATTCATAAATTATATGAATTATTTGAACCCAAAGCTAACTTACACACAGATTGAGGATTAACTTTGGGTTGTTTAACCCATGACAAGTTCAGACATCACATGGACAAACTACAAATGGAGAATTGTAGAATGTAGCTATAGATCGGAAGCAGCTCACAAACTGTGTAAGACCTCACAAAGTGCAGACTAATTATAGCACTAATCACCACCAAACACTGCCATTATTTGCAAAGATAGTCACAGAAGGATCAGCAACAAGGGTCTGATAAGCACAAAAACAAAGGAAGCAAATCTAAAAAAAGTAGCATGTGTTAACTTTAAAGTTTCATAAATATCTAAAAAGTTTCCCCAGTAGTCAAATGTCATTGAATTGAGATATCTGACTGCAGAAATTGAGTGCAGTGTAGTTTAAATGTTCTATTCAACCAATTAAAACCTTTACTTGAAAGTTATTTTTAAATGCTTGTAAATATTCAAGACAATGACAATGTAAGTTTAAGACATCACATGCCCCCAGTTGCTTTCAAAACTAATTTTAATTGAACTTTTGTTTCCATTGTTATCTTTTTTGTGACAAGGCAAACAAGAATTGTACACATTATTTCAGATGTGACAGCACTGTTATGCCATAAGAACATCACACTGCCTTTACAGCCATTCTGCTACCAATTCACCATGTCTGAAGTATGTGTTGGACTTCACCATCTGGAATAATTTGGCGACATCTCAAAAATTAACTACTTGCCATTTATTTCTTAAGTCCAGCTAATTTATAAGTAACTAGAAAAAAATGTGACTCTGTTTTACTTCCACCATGAAATTGGATTTGATAGAAGTCTAGCAAAATCATTTGGAAAACATTAATTTCACTATTTCCTTACATTCCAGTATGCACACTTTAACATACACACAATATGTTTATTATTGCAGAGATATTCACATGTATATATATATTATCATTCCCTATATGTGTAATTTCATCATCATATGTTACACTACACATGCAGATGCTCTTCAGGACTTTAAGGAGAAAACCCAAAACTGTAGATGGATCTCTCAAACACTGTATAGGAGTGATAAAAACTGATAGCAGGAAAGCCCCACTATTAGGCACAAATGCAGCACATGCTATCAACCTGCAAACAGTATGTAAAAGTACAGGTGGAATAACAATACATTCTCTTTACATATACTCTTAGAGTACTGCTTCTACTTATCTAGCTCCTCCCCTTTCCCCACTGTGTCTGTTATTCTTCCACTTTTTGCTATTTAAATCTTACCTCTTTACAACTGGAAAGCCAACTCCCTGGCCACCTGCCTTCCCTTCTCCCCCAGAATACAGGGCTGCAAATTCCCACCTTCATCTATCAATGGTAACGCATTGTACACACGGAAGAACGTCACAGAAACATATCCTTGAATTGGAGGGAAGGAGAGAGGGAGCGGGCTCTGTGATTATTCTTATTTGATGAAATACTAGTTTCTGTTGAATGATTCAGGAAACTCGCAAGGCGGGGGGGGGGGTCCCTCTGCCTCCCACCCCGACCGCCGCCTCCCCAAGTTGCTGAGGCATTCGGCACAAATCACAACAACAGAAAGACTCTGCTCGCTCCCTCCCATTCAGAAGGGCCCCATATTTCCCCTCATCCACTCTCCGCGAAGAAACTACCGCTCTCCTCTTCCCCCGCCACGGACTTGTTGAGGGGGCGACGCTCCTTTCTGCTGAACCCTTAATCCCCGCTCTCGAGGGGAACCGAGAAGAAGATTCCCCGCCTGCGGCCAACGTAAGGCAAATTCAAACTGGAAGAGATCAAGCCCTCCCTCCTGCTCCCCCGCTTGGTCTCCCCTCTTTTTCCCCGACAGCTCGAAGATACGCTCGCTGCTCCCTCACGGGACCCCTGAAATCCGCGGGCGGCGCGACCACGACCCCCTCGCCGGGCTCCGCTCGCCACTCACCCCCGCCGTCGTCCCTCGGCCCAGATTTTCCCTCCCGCCGCGCTCTTCACCGCCTCGCCGCCGCCATGTTAGGATCTGGTGCAGCACGGACTGCGTCAGTGGAGGAGGGGAGGAAGCGGGAAATCTGGAGCGGCGAGTGGCTGGCGAGGGCGGAACGTGCGGGAGAAGCCGAGGCTCCGGCGACGAGCCTCCAGCCTCGCCTTTCGGGCCGGGAAGAACTGCTGCCTCGGGGAGAAGCCCGAACCCGCTCCGCTGAGCCGCTTCCCGCCCCTTTTGGCGTGCACACCCAGGTCTTTTTAAGGCCAGGAAGAGCCCAGTGCCTGCTCGTGCACCGAATTCCCTTAACTAAGATGCCCTCAGCTCGGTTCTCTCCTTCTTTGAAGATTCCCTCAAGCAACTGGGATTAAAGTTTTCTGTCATCTGTCCTATACTACAAAGCGTAATCGGTGCATAGCATGTTGGGCCACACAGCGAGCCGCTACCACGCTGGGCGCCTTTACAACGGCAGGGGAACGCGTGGCCCTCCAGAATATGTTCGACTGCAACTCCCATAATTCCTCGCCAACAGCTACGCAGGCTAGGGCTGATGGGAGTTGCAGTCCTCCCGAAATCTGGAGGGCCACAACTTCCTCAGCCAGGCGTAGACAGCAAGCGTTGCTAAACCAAAGAGAATAGTTTACATGCACATTGTGCTCATGCATATCGGTGAGGTTACTATTAAAATTTATATTTTAAAAGCTCATTTACATTAGATATAAATGTACATAATGTTCAGGTTGGCATCCTGCCTGGCTACTGTTTGCTTCAGGACCGAAAAAAATAGAAGTCATGTTCTAAAATTACTAACAGTATATTAGTATACATGTATAATCAGACGTAACCTCTACTGTGCTCAGTGAGCTAAGTAGCTAATAACGAATTAGGCTGCAATGCTTCTCACCTAGAATAAGCGTCGTTATATTGAACTCACAATTGAGTTTCTTTTCCCCGCCGCCGCTCCCCATAGAGTGTAACCTTTACTGTACATTATATAAGTAAACAAATGGGTATGGGCCAGTGGAATTTAATTCTCTGAGACGTTGCAGGTATTATCAACAAAAATCAATGACCCCCAAATAAAATCCACATGTGGAAAAAAATTATCCCACTAGCAGTTCTGCAAAGTTAGATCTGTTTTACATCATTGAGAGAGTCATGCTTTTTTCCTCTGGAGAGGCAATGCCTGATCAATTGATTTAATTCTATGATGTAAATATGCTACCACTACGCAACGTCTTGGCAGGACACTTATTTAGGGGGCAATCCTGTGAAAGTCCAACTCCCAGCATGCTCCAGACAGTTAAGCTAACAGAGACATACTCATAGTTGTAGGAGTTTTTTTCCTGTATAAACCTGCAGAGGATTCCAACTTAAAGAGCTACCTATTTTCACCCCACTCGAGTGATAGCATAGAAAAATAGTATTGAAAGTATGCAAGTCAAAAAACGTCCAACAACTTAAAGACTACAATTCCCAAGAAGCAACGAGACCGTAGTTAGAGCATCTTGGGAAATGTCCCATTTTTTTCCCCCCAGCTAAATAGAACCCTTATATTGCAGGCGGAAATTGTGGCGCCGGAAGTAAAGAATTGTGAGCATGCTGGTGTAGAAAGCAGTCGACTGTGAATGGGATCGTTAGGCGCGTGCTTCATTTTTGGCATTTCCAATTTTTTTGCATGCGGGGGGATTTGGGACTGGAACAAGAACTGAGTTGGCCATCTTTCACTATGTGGATTCAAAGAAGTCAGGCAACGTAATTGGTGAGTGGCACTTGCTTGGCAGTAGGTAGGGTGGTCGTGTGGTCACTCCTACCTGCACTCGATATGTTTCTCCTGAACGGGACAGTCGAATGCAGAAAGTTGCAGACTGTTTAACGTGAGTCCCGGAAGTTGCTGATCTTATGGCTGCAAGGGTGCCAGGGTAAGACATACCGATATTAAGGATATGAACCCATCAATTCAATGCACACCCCAACAGAAGGGCTAGCTGCAGTGGCAGGTGGTGATAGGAAGTGCTTTACTGCTGTTGGTAGTGCAGGCTTCATGCTAGATGGGGATGAGACACGTTCTGCCTTTAGAAGAGGCTGAGCAGAATGCACCCCCCCAAGAAGCTGCGCACAGGTTGCCAAATCATAATGCACAACTACTTGTACATGCTTGCTTGCACAAATGTAACTTCAGTTCATAATCTCGTTTTTTCTAGCACAGCTTCATTTATGCTAACAGAATGACAATTACATAATGTCCTGTATTAGCTTGTTCATTTAAGGAAATAAATCAACATTTTCCCTATGTGGATTGCATGTATAAAATACAGGATTATAGTTACAGATAATCATGTAGATTTATTGGAGTAAGTATTATGTCCAGTATACCACCCCCCCCCACTACCAAGATAAAACTCTATTGTTAGGATAGATATTTAGATTTAATAAGTATTTATAAATAAATTCAAGTTTAGTAGACCTTGTTTGCCACATTGCTTTAGATATTATGCAAAAAAGATTGTTCTGATTTTCAAATTACAAATAATGTTTACATCTAGATTTGTCCCTCCAAAAATGGAAAGAATTCTTCAGTGTACACAGGGAATTGGAACACAGTGGAAGCTTCCTGCAGGAAGGAAAGAGGAGGAAGTTGGTCTGACTGCAGTTTATCTGGGCTCAGACAACCCAACAAGCTGTGTCTAATCAAAAATGGAACTAAATGCCTTTTTACAGCTGTGCATGAGGCAGAGGGGGTAAGAGAAGACTGTGCAAGCTCCTCTTGCTAAATGAAGCTGTTGTTCATTGGAAGAAAATTGTTTACTGAAAAAGGGGGGTCACCATAGGCCAGTAGTAGAGCATGTGTTTTTCATGTAGAAGGTCCCAGGTTTAATCCTTGGCTTCTCTATGCAGGGCTGAAAAACCCCTACCTGAAACCCTGGCAAACTTTCACCACCACTCAGTGTCTACAGTGTTGGCCTAGAAGAACCAGTCAGCATAAGGGAATTTCCTATGTTTTGTTTGGCCCATTGATGTGCTATAACTCACTGATCTAGAGATACGGACCAGTAAAAAATGTGTGGGTGAATAGTTTGTACGGACTTATTTGGGCTAATTAATTTTAAATTAATGCTTTTACAGAAACTTCAAGTTCCTTTCTACTCCATGAAGTATCTTCAAAGAAAACAGGAAAAGCAAGAGTTTATACGTCTGTATAAATACTGTACCTTTTTACTATCATGTGGTTTGCTGATGATCAGGCATGAAGGATGAAAACCTCATTCTGGACCAACATAAAAGGAGGACATTAGAATGACAAGAATGCTTTGCTTAAGACGTTTTTACCCATTTGCACTGAGGTGTTGCCAGTGTCGAACTGTGAGCAGTGACCCCTTGCTGAGCCAACTAAGTAACTGCACACATGAAGATGAAGTGTTTGATCTTGTTGGAAAGAACAAAACTAAACTCTCTGAAAAGCATGTGGGAAGTGCAATTGATATACTTTGGCAGTTTCAAGAGAAAAAGCATAATTTCCCAAGGAATAGTGATTATGTAAAAAATCACTCACACTTTATTATGCTAAACAATTTAGCAGAAAACAAGATTTCCTATATGGATAATGAAGCATTGATACATATGCTGTACAATATACTCAGGTCAGCAGTGTGAAATAGAAATGTAATGAGATCAAGTTTCTTAATCTGTGACTTTAAACCAGTAGAAGTTTGTTTATTTTTCAAAGTTGGGCATTCTGTTTACTGTAGAAGCATAGCTTGCTGGTGTTAGGATGTGCTAGTGGGCTACTGCCTGTAATTATTTGTTAAAAAGGTATGATCTAGGAATGCATCTCAATACCTCTGTTCAGTTTCATAGAAATTGATGAGATTGCTATCAGTTATAGCAGATGTTTGTAAGATGTGGTATTTGCTTTTGAAAAAGCAAAAGATGGAGAGAAACTGAGGATTTGGTCCAACCCTAACGTAAGTGGAAAGATGCTTAAACAATGGGACTTCCACTTGCATGACAACTTCCTTATCCTCTTCTCCTGCTACAGCCCCCCATGTAACCCCAAGATCTACCCTAGAGTGTCCTGCAATAATTCTGCTGGTAGAATAACAAAACTGGATGCAACCTGAACCTTCACAGGATATCAAGGCAAAGCAGTGATTACTGCTGCAGTTACCAACCCCAAACAAAACCCAACTGTTTCCCAAGCTTATAGAATGAGGTGGTCAATTTCAGGAGGTCCCAGGGCTATCTTGATTCCCTAGAACCTTTCCATATGCTGCCTCCCCTATGGCTTCTCAATTAAAAAAAAGTTATTTAAATGATATCCATGTAAATATCCGAACACTTAAGAATGGCCAGGCCGTATTAGCCTGCAGTAACTAACTTTGAGCCTTGGGCACCCCATAGCAATTACAAACACCACTTCTGAAGAAGACTTTTTGGGGGCAGGTTAATTCATGGGCTGCATGTTATCTACTCTGATGTAAAACAATGGAGAAGTAAACATTAGTACAGGAAGGAGAGATGAGAGTATCAGCAGTTGAATTTGAGCAATTGGAGTTACAAGCACCATGGTAACAGATGGTTTGAAGATTTAAGGAATTAGGTCCAAAGCCCTTGAAACAAAAGTGGATTTTGGAGGAGAGTGGAACCATGTACATTTCCAGGCATTGATCCATGAACAGTTGCAAATTAGATTCCAAAACTCCTAGGTGCTAGGGTTAGGTATATTGTATCAAATACACACTAGCACCCTGCTATTTGTAGTACATTTTTGATTCTATAGTTTCTGTCCATTTCTGTTCAGTGGGTTACAATAACTATACAGAGCTGTTTGACCTGTCTTTTGATCTTTCTGAAGTCTCGGCGTTGAAGCCCATGATTCACTAGTAAGAGAGCTGGTTGTGGAAGGCTGGAGAAGATTAGATGGGCAAGTACCCTTGTTCTTTTGCATATACACTGGAGGTTTATTTGTACATGTTTATAAAAGTTATCACAAGATTCGTACTGGCAACCTTTAATATTGTAAATGAATTGTAAATTGGTTTCTCACTCTTGTCCATGCCCTGTTCAGTTAGGCATCTGCAACCTAGGCATCTGTGGGTCAAGATAAATTTACATCGAGGACTGTTGTACTAATGGGGAGACCCTCAAATTGAAGAATGTACCAGTCCACTTGTTGGCTCAGGGTAGATAGTAAATTGCAAGTTTAGGCTGCACTTGTATATTTACTGGAACCTAGAAAAAAGCCACATGATATATAATTTGCAGGTTGTTCTCCAGGGTTTTATAGATCATTCCTGCAAAGAAGTTGATATGTCATAGTAGATTAGTAATAGGTGTTCATAAACTAGATACATTCTTTGAACTCAATTTACATTTATTTTGTGTGTAAATGAGGAATTATCTGGGTAGTGTTCACTGACTGATTACTTTTTCTTTTAGAGAATTGGATTTTTTGTTTCTGGGGGTGGGGCCTAAACAAAGCAAAGATATCTAATTGAGAAAAATTGGTAGCTTGGCTTTATTGCAAGCTCTGTGAAGATTTCCTTTTTTTAAGTAAATAACCTCTGTTCCAATATGGCTTTCCCTGTGAGAGTTAAAATCCCCAAGATCCTCAGACTCATGTAGGGCATGGCAGTATTGAGTAAAGCTCAGTACTCTAGTGAATGGCAAGCACCCTTTGAGAAACCTCTTTGTTGTATCTGGTGGGTTTGGTTCTGGCTCAAGTGGGAGATGTTCCAGACCAGCATTAGATGTGTCAGAGATCTCTCTGCTAAGTTCCAGCTGTGTATGCAAGCCTGGTGTGAAAAGAAGGGAAGGCAGAAGGGAAGTAAGAAGTGTATAGTGCAAGTTAAAGTAATACAAGTATCTGTCTGACATAAACCAAAAATAATGGCTTGGATCCAGAGAACCATCTATCTAAATATATCTATCATTATTTATGTGCTGCATTTAAGAGTAGAATGATGCACTTAGGATGGCAGCTGAACTGACATATTCAAGTTAAAGGGTAGCCAATTATCAGTGCAGCAATTCCCATAAGATAATGGGTGGTTGGAAGTGGTTATCTGACTGCCAAGTAAATATAATTTACACCCTCTGGTTATCAAGTGATAGGTCCGAGATTTGTAATGGATAACAAGGAAACAGGGTGCTCCTCCTTAGGAATATCTCTTGCATATGACATGTGTGGATAGATGCTTATAATAGTCATTCTTTGTATATACAAATTTTACAGTTTTGGTATGGTAATGGATTTTCTTTGATATACTCACAGACTGAGCCTAGCTGCGCTATCTAAATTTGCACTGTGCCTACATAAGCAAAAACTAGTCAAAAGTCCTCTTATGGGTCAAATCGCTGAAATTGTGAATAAGAACTTGGATTCTATGCAGGATACAAGGTAATTTTAACAAATGTCTCAGATGCAGAATTGTGAGTACTTCCCTTTAATGTAAGCAAGCTTTTATAAAACTACTTTACATATACCTGGTTAGGTCTATTTTATTGTATAGTTAAGTTAGCTGCACAGCATTGTAAACCAAAGGAACAGCTGTACCTCTCAGGATCTTTCTTTCATTGATGAATTCATTGGGAAGACAGTTTTTGCTCTCCGATTTTATCGATGGATTCAAATCCTCTTAGCCAGCTGCATATTTAAATCAGTCTATTTTTTCCTGTTACTGGCAAGTAGTTGGTGCTTTTATACAGTAACTAGTTAATATACCTGGCTTCAAACACTTGCAGTAGCTCTTAGCTGGATACAATGAAGCCTTCAAGCAGTGTTACCCTTACTTAGTTGTTAGAGTAGAGCACATTATGCCTGCTTTACCCGAGTGAAGTAATGCTTGCTGGCACCACTAGGCATTTATTTATTTTTCGATTTATATCCTGCCTTTTTCCTACAAAGGGCTCAAAGCAGCTTACATCATTCTCCTCCTCCATCTTCTCCCCACAACAGCAACCCCGTGAGGTAGGCTGGGCTGAGAGTCTGTGACTGGCCCAAAGTCACCCAGTTGGCTCCTTGGCCGAGCGGGGACTAGAACCCAGGTCGCCTGAGTCCTAGTCCCACACTCTAACCACTACACCATGCTGGCGCTCTCACCATGCCAGCCTCTGCCATGATGTACCTCTATAATCTCCTGCCTTATGTGGCAGCTGTGCAACTGTTCCTTGAACTGTGCACCCCAGCTTCAGTCTGCATCAGCAGCAAAGGTGGTTAGAGATGTCTGACCCTTAGTAAGTAATGATGGTATTCCAAACATCAAACACATGGACAAATTAATTAAAATGAATTTATGAACTTAACCAAATGACCTTGCAGTGTACATTCTAAGGTTATCTTAATAAGCATGCCAAGTTTCAGATGTCTAGGTTTGGTGGGCTGGACATTTTGGTGCTGAAAGACAGACAGTCTCTTTTATAGCTCAGGAAGGACAGCTCTTGACGTTTGGCTTAATTTGGCCTGCAAAGGCTTGGGCTTTCCCAGTGGGCCCTGCCCTTGACCTGGAGGTTATGGAGTGGGGGGGCTTTGTGAGGAGGCAGAGAAGAATCCCCTTATCCCATGTTGGTAATTGGCAATAGCAAGGAGATGTACCTGTGCACTGCTCTTCCCTGAATGGAGAATGCAGAAATGCAGGGGAATCCATTTGTTACCTCAGGTCACAGATCTGAGATGAAATGGCATGGGGAAATGGCAGCTTTGCTGTGTACAAGTCTTATCTGATGGAAGAGGACCCCTGCACAGTGAAGCCTGTTCTGCCAGGGAGCTAGGGGGTCACCCTTTCCACATGTCTGCTGGGAGCCAGGTGCTTTGTTGCCCTACATCCTCTGTCTAACCGGAAATGGCATGGCAGCAAAGTAGCTTTGCCATGCACACAGAGAGACACGCCAGAAGAATGCTGCATTGACATGAAAGGACAATGGCTATGCCCCTTGACATCAGGGGAATGGAGCTACCTCTTTGGTGTAATTCAGCCTGCAGAGAGTGTGGTGGGGTCATACAGTCTTCCAGCCTTTCCCAGTTACCTGCCTCTGACACAGGAAGTGAGCCACTTTCAAATAGCAATTGGGAAAACATTTTTAAGCGCAAGTTCTTGTGTCCATGTGGAGTCACTGTAGCTATTGATCACCATTTTAAAAGGATTTATTTTAAACTGGAACAGGCTGAGAAAAAAGTGAAAAACCATTGCCTGCCCCTGGGTTTGCCACACTTTTCACCTGACCTTGGAACTGCATTTAGCTTTAAATGTCTTCTGGATGTTATTTCTGGAATCTCAAGTTCTTACCCTAGACATAGCTACTTTGCTGAAGGTCCCACTGAGATCTCTATTCTCACTCCATGTTGCAGTTTGTTCCTGGATTTGTGATAGTTGCTTGCCAGAGACTGAGATCAGGACTGGGGATGTAATGTAGATGAGTCTCCTGTTAAGTAAACTTAAGGAAGTGTAGTTAAAAGTAACCCCCTCTGTGCTCAATGGCTTAACTTCAAGTAACTGGTATAGGACCCAACCCTTAGCCTCTCAGATATGAAGTAAATATGTCAGTTGTTTTGCTTGCAATCACCGCTGTTTGGATGATCTAAACAAAACAGATGGATTTTAATTATTTTTAAAAGAACATTTTTGCTTAATGTGTTCATTTTGTCTGCCTGTTGTAACATATGTGTAATAGAGTCCACCCTCTCAGTTACTCTTTTCTCCCATTCCTTTAGATTTCAAATAGATCATAAATATGTACTTGATCATATCCTGCCAAATAGTTCACCCACACACCCAACATGTTCTTTTAATATATTTTTAATGTGGCCTTCTTAAATAATGTTTCTTGACTTGGTGATTAAATGTAATATCTTTTGAACGTTTTTAGAGTATTACCAGTTTTGATGAGCAGCATATCTAGTGTTATCTCGAAGAATCTCCAAAATCGGTTAATGCAGAAGGCAGAGGGTGCTTTGGAAAATATCGAACTTGTCTCCTCAGATCATGCCATGCATTTTGTACAGTTTCTCCGAAATATCAAACTACAACATCACCCATTGTTGGATAAATGTAACAGAGTTTTTCTGCGGGATGCAAAGCAACTGGATGTTGAGGAATTGAGCACCATTCTTCAGCTATACCACTCCTTACGTTTCAACAATAGTGCATTCAGATTAGTTGCTAAACAGAGACTGATGGCAATTATGGATGAATGCAATAATCCTTTGAGCTTTACTCAACTGTTTGCTGCTCTTGCACCCATGGCAGGACCAGCAGTCAGAGAACAGTAAGTTTTCCTGTTGGTTTAATTGGCATACCTGTATGCGTATTTCCTTAAAAGTACTGAATATCTCAGAAGGTTCTGTGAAAACTGCTGCTGTTGAAGGGTTATAGGTACAGGCTGCAGTCCAGCAAAGGGGAACTTCAAGTGCAACTGAGTTGTCCTTGGCATCAGCAATAAGTGATAAAATACCTTCCTAGGTACCTACTTTCTTGCATGATCTTACCCCATCTCAAGAAAAGTAGATTGCACACATGAAGTAGAATTCCTCCCCTTTTGCCATGTTTCTGTCTCTCTCAGATCATGCGGGACCAATAGAGATGTGGTATATGGGAAAGCATACTCTTGGAGAAGCACAGTAAAGGCTTTGTTAAGATCCAAAGGCACTGTTTGCTTCCTTGAAAACTGCTTCAAAAGCCTGAAGGTTCTTAAAGATCTACGCTGAGATCAAGAGAGACCCTGGTGCACACCTTGAAGGGTTGGCGTGCACCAGCATGGTTCTGTGGATCACATAATAGCATAGAACCCAAATCCATTGCTGCAGTTCCTGTTTTTCTTTATAAATGGGACAGCATTTTATTCAGAAGTGCATATTTGGTTATTACATCACTCTGCAGATACTGTGCTGATTCATATATCAGAATAAGCCACTGCATTTTAATTCACTTGGGGGGCTCCAAATGTGTACCAGCCACCATTTTGAATGCCCAAAACATGTGGGAATGTGCCACAGCTTGTTGTGTTGTGTGAACGTGGGTATCAAGGCTTATCTAAAGGTTGTTTAACCCTCAGCACATGATGCCTGGCTTCACATGATGCAACAAATCATTCAGCACCCCAATTGTGGCTTGTACATTTAAAATGGCTCCTGGCATGCATTTCAGCAACCAGCAATGCAAGTAAGCCACAGTGGTTTGCCATGACACATGAAACAGGTAATTGATACAAATATCTGATTTGGAACGTTGTTGCCAAAAAAGCGTTTCTTCCAAAAGTATTTCTATATAGTTGATCTTGCCATCTTCTGAGCTTCTTATTACACAAGAATTGTTAAAGCCTTGTGCTGCCCTAGAAATGCAAAGTGAAGGCCACTGTTCCCTATACAAAAGCAGGAGCTATGTTTCCTAGTTTCTACCTTTTTAATCCAACAATCTGGAATGTGCTTTTCTTATCTGGCATGACAGTCTTGTAATGGTGAGAACACCTGATTAAATCTGGAGCTTAACAGATTTGTTTTTGGCTGAATGGTTATCAATAGAGAGCCAGTGTGGTGAGTAAAGTCTGTTATCTGGGGACCCAGGAGATGCAGGTTCTAGTTCCCACTTGGCCATGAAGCTCACTGGACCCAACTTATCTCACAGGATTGTTGTGAGGATACAGTGGACCTTCGTAAGCCACCTTGAGTTCATCACAAGAGGAAAAAAGGTGGGATATAAATGCAGCATGACAATGGTAGAGGAACCACATGGTTCTCCTTACCCTGTAAATAGTTCAAGTTATTTTTAAAAACATTAAACACGTTTCTTTATAGAATTTCTCATTTTTCTAGCATGCTTCACTTTGTTATGAAATAAGAACAATATAAACATTGTCCTTTCCTTTTGGAACTGTTGGAAATATGGGCTATCTACATCTGTACCTTTTCTTTCTTTTTAGGCTAATTGAAACAGCTCTACTAATTGCAGATGAATTTGATCATCTCCAAACATTAGCAGTGGTGGAAGCTTTGAAAGAAATGAAGTACAGAAATTCGCAGCTGATTAAAAAGTAAACCTTCAGTACAAAATAGCAACACTGTTTTCATTTTAAGTAACTACTCTTTTCTGACTAGTCAGAATGGAACAAGTGGAAATTCTATCACTACTTAATCTAAACATGTTTGAGATAGAGGACTAGATAACCATGTACTCCATGGTTTACCATTTATTTCCTGTAACACTACAGTCCTAAACACACTTATTGGAAGCAAGGCCCATTGATTTTTGAAGATCTTGCATCCAGGTAAGTGTGCCTGGGATCATGGTGTAACTTCTTGCTGGGCAGGTTCATTGTGACTTTTCAGCTGCAAATTGCCTCCTGCATTTATGTAATGCTGAGCCACCCCCACAACAAGCTACACACTGTGAGCGGTTCATGGTTGTTGTAGCTGTGGGTTGTGCTTCCTTCCTTTTGCTTCATTCTTCCAGCCAGCTCTGGCCCATTTCTGGAGTTTGCGGCAGAATCTAGTTTTTTAAACTGTTGGAATATGTTTGCACATTTTTAGACTGGGAAGTAAATGGAAGGGAAATGTACACAAATGCAATAGCTGAAAAGGATTTGTGCACTAGTAGTGAAAACAAAATTGATCCAGGTGCACAAATCCTCCCCCCACCCCCATTTACTTCCTAAACAATAAGTTTGTATATATTTTCCAGTCCAAGAATATGTAATAATGTTCCTGGCAATATTTTTCCTACAGACCCCTTAGCGATCAACAGTAATTCCTCCAGCCCCACTCATAGGGCACCGTTCACCAAGTCCCTTTTAGTCTCTCTCTGAGAATTTTTAAAATTTGCTTCTGGGTGCAGGTGTGCCAGGCCTTTTCAGCTTTCCTTGTGTGTAATGCAGGAGTTATTTTTGAGAAAGCATCCTGGTTTTAAGGCGTTCAGGCTGGAGTGGCAGATGCCATATTGCAAGAAATTTAAAATCCATCCAGTAATTTTTTGTGTGTACTTTCTTCTTGGGGCTAGCATCTAGGATACTTTCTAAAGGTAATCTTTATTGTGATTTGCCACGATAACAAAATTTAACATCAACTGTTTTTCGTTTCAGGATTACTGATGTCCTTCATAAACACTTGGATATGTACAGATCAACTGAGTTGGCCAGATTGTTGCGGTCTATAGTATTCCTACAAGTCCACGATCCTGACTTTTACTCCAAATTACAAAAATGGCTAATTCGGTAAGAAGGTACATTATATCAGCAACTGTAAAGTATTTATTATTAGAGCTATATCCCTTATTAGAGCTATATCCTTATTAGAGCTGTATATTAGAGCTATATCCCACCATATTCCTAATATGGTACAATCCAAAATGGCATATGTGGGCTGCTATCCAGGCATTGGTGCCTCTCAGATCCACTTAGCATGGTTGCTATAGCATATGCATTTAGACCTCTTGCCTCTTCTTTAGAGGAGACCTGAAAACTTGCACATTTCTATATTTGATGTAGTTTTGCAAATAAATTCACAAAGTTATTAGCCCATACAAATGTTTACTATGCATTCATACCAAATTTAGAAAGTAAATTTCTTCTAAACATTAAGCATTTGGAGATTTGGCTCCAGAAACAACTACTACTACTATTACTGCTACTAATACTTTTTCTTGATCAGATGTATTTATTGCCCAGCTGGCCCATGCTAGCATACATGCAGACTGCTGTGGTGTTGATAACAATAGCTGTGGCATAGATTGAAAAGAAGTAACAAATAAAAGAAAGGGTTTTAATAATTTTGTGGTGCACTGAAAGCTTGAATGAAAACGAAAACAACTATCTTCCAGTTTGTATTTTGCTTTCCTTTCTTACTTATTTTCTTACTTAAAATAACAAGGCCAGTGATTTTTTTCAAAACTGAAAAACTAAATTACAAAGGTATTCACAATATAGTAAAGCAACTTTTAAAATGGTCCTTGACTGCATACTTTGAATTGGTGGTACAAAAGTAACCACTTTAAAGTTTTGATTCGGTTTTTCGGTATAATAGGAATGTTTTTTCTCTATATAATGCTTTTCTGATGGCATTGAATTAGTGTGCCTCTGTTGATAGAAAGTTTGCATCTGCAAATCTAGGAAAAAGAAAATATCTTCCAAAAATTTGCTGTAGAGTCTCCCCCAACCTTTTTGCAATAAGTGGAAAAAGGAGGAAGAAATTGCCCAAACTGACCCGACTCTACCAAGAGAAGCCTTCTGTCAGCAGAGGGACACTAGCAGAATGCTGCCTTATTTTGTACATTTATACAAAATAAAATGTATTTTAATTTTGGGCTGCAACATTTAAACAAGTAACTTGTTAGATTATTATTATTATTATTATTATTTAATCCAAGTGCTTATCAAAACTGCAGATATCATGATGGGCACACAGAGGAGGAAAGTCCCACTTCAGATAAGATGTGAAAGTGTGCATTTTGCTTCAGAAATCTTTCATTTGGCCATATGCAAATTTAATTGATACATTAATCAATCAAGGAACATTTATAGGATTAATAGATTGAATGTTCATATATCAGGATGTAGTTTTAATTTTTGTAATTAATTTTCATCATAAATTTAATAGTTTGTTCAAAGTTTGTTGCGCTTAGCTAAACCTGTTGGGAAAAAAATCTAAGTGGTTTTGTAAGCTGTCTTAAGATCCATTTCAGATAAAGATGGGATAGAAGTGTTTTCTAAAAAGTAATAATAATTCTGATCCAATCTGTGATGCTTGCTTCCGTTTTCCAACATCAGGGATGCAATACAATACAGTGGTACTAAGCACACTTAAGTAGCTTTCATTGATATCCAGTGGATTTTCTTTGAAGCAAATATGCATGTTATCTTTGTGTAAAATGTTATATATGTATGTATGCATACTTGTGTGTGCGATTATAAATATTTTTTTACAACTAACCATTGATGAAATTCTTTCTCTTTTTAAAAATTCTAGCCGTTTACAAGAAAGCGTCACCCTAACAGATATTTGTATCCTAACTCATCTGGTCTCCATTCTTCCTTCTTCTCACATGGATGAAGCTATAGCCGCTCGAATTGATGGCATCTTGCCTCAGTGCAACTTGAATTACTTGAATTTCTTTGCCACAGCCATCACAAAGTGGGTTCGTCATAACCAGTCAAATCAGAGACGCGGTTCTGGGTTGCATGGGATACTTTTGCAAAAGATTAAGTATCACGCATTTCAGAGACTTCAGCAAGCCAATGATCTGGATCATCTGTTAGAAGAACTGAAATTCCTAGCTGGAGAGTGGTTTGAAGAAATACTTCTTGAACAAACCATGGTGACTCTTCAGCGCTTGGTAGACCAAATTGCATGGAAGAATATGCTACTTTATTCATCCTTTATTGTCAAAACCAACTACCTCTGCCCTCTGTTACTAGATAAAATGGCTGCTGTTGCCATGGAGCATGTAGATAAGGTACTAGTGATGTGTTATCATTTTATCTCCCTTGAAAGCAGAAGTAGCATGCTGTGTAATATTGGGGAAAAGTTGCAGCTTAATGGTAGAGGACGTGCTTTGCATGCAGGTCCCATGTTCAATTCCCAGCATCCCCAGGAGCGTTGGGAAAGACTCCTACTTAAAATCCTGGAGACCTGCTGCCGGTCAGCATAGACTAAGGATGGTAGGATTTCCACAGTCCAGTTAGCTGCCTCAGATCAGTACCTCCTGGAGGACGTGTTATTACAGAAGATTTAAACTTGTCTGCTTTTTCAGGGCCATATCAGTTAATCTGACTGTCAACTCAGTTGTATTCATATATTCGCTCATAGGTTTAACTTGTGGTCCAATGTAAAAAAAGTTGTGCAGGACTTCGTCGCACAGGCCAAGACCCTGCGAGGGTTCGCTTGGAACCGCAGGGCTTCCCTTGCCTCCAGGCTCTGAGTGAGCTCCAGACTGGCCTTAAGCTTTGCACTCCTTGTCTGCTACTGCTGGGAGAAAGGAACATGAGTGCTAGGAAATTCTGCATTCAACAGCAGGACCTCCCACTTAGCTTATCACCTTATGTCCACAGGGGAGGGACAGATGAACTGACCTGAAATGTGCTACCTGCTTTCAAACGCACCCTGGATAGAAACCTGGCCACCAAGCAAAGGGACGTAAAGTACAGTCCTGTGGTCTCCTGACATTATCTGTGGGGTGGTCCTAGAACTTTTAGGGGCCCTGGCTCTGAGGTGCTCCGTTCTGAACATGGAGCCCCCGCCCACTCCCCACAGCCAGTGCACAAAGAACAAGGATAAGGGGAGGAGAAAGTGTGTGCTGGGGGATGGGGACCAGAGGACCCTTGACTTGCTTAGGCTGTATCCAGATGGTGCCCCAGCCTGCTTCCCTCCATGGGGCTTCATCTAGATGGCTGCAAAGCTGGGGTGGTGAAGACCACTGCTGCTGCACCTCAGTTCATGCACTGGATGCTCATAAGTTTGCACCTTCAGAGGCATCCATGTGCTGAGTGTGAAGGGCTGCCAGGGATTGCTGCCTTACAGGTTCATTAACTGGCTTTTCAAATGTGGGAGCTACCTTATCTTTAACAACAGCAAAAATGAAGCAGCAGAAAGGCTGACTATAATAGCAGCCCATAGTTGTGATTTATTACTACTACTTAGACTTAACCTTCTGTTGCTCATCTCACTTCTCTTTGGCATTGCACTGCAAGAGTTTTTTAAGACCTGCAATAGATCTGCAATAGATTTTAATATGTATTGTTCATATGCCTGTTTATTTATTGTGTTGGAAGCCATCCCGAGGCTCATGCGAATGGGATGGCATACAAAAAATTTCAAATACATAAATTGCCACCAGATAATGAGTGCATGAGAATGAGCAACCTGTTGGCAGATATCAGTGAGTTTGGCAATCACTGATAGACAACTGTGGCAGTCACAGACCATCTCCTTGGGTTTCATTGCTTTTTCAATAATTTACATTTCTGGCAGACAGATGTGATAGATAGTTGTGCACACTCTCTTTTTTTCCCTCCTCTAGATTTACAAATCAGAAGCATACTTGCTTCTCCTCCCTTTTGCTCGTCTGCATTACATTGATCCTCCTCATGTTCAGGAATTTTTTGAAGCTTGTATTGGACAAAGCAGCAAACATATAAGTAAGTTCATCCTAAGGAGGAGATTGTCAATATTTCCCTCAAAGTGCAAGTTAGCAGCACATGAAGAGAACACAATATCAAACACAATGTCTCTCTCTTGCTTAAACGAAAAGAAAGTAATATAATGTGCAGAGCCTTCTATTGTTTGTTTCCAAGTGGGGATTCTTCCAACCTTTTCAAACATCTGTGGGTAGAGTGAATTGAAAGTGGTGAGCAGTGAAATGTTCCTTTCTGTATCTTTCAAAATAACTGCAAAGCTAAGCAAAGGCACATTTTAAAATGAATCATGGCAAAGCACCTCCTGCTGATTCAGAATAATAACGGAGTATTAAGGTAAGATTTTATTTTCTTGTTTCCTGAAAGGGTGCTTATGAAGTTGCCTTGTCTTGTGGAGAAGCTGCCAGCACGGAGGTGTCACTTGTGCCACGGGAAGGCGTGATTGCACAGTTTCACAAGACATGGCGATGCATGTGAAGAGGCTGGCAGCCAAGGGCTGAGTGAATCAAGCTGTAGGAGCAGCCTCCATACTAGTAGTGATTTCCTTACATCAGCTATGCTGGAGATAATGTGGGTAGAGAATCTGTTCTTCTCTCCCGGCAAATGTAAAGATTAAGGACTCACAAATAAGCCTTGTACCATGCATCAGATCTGTGTTTTGGGCTGTGATATTTGCCATCATGTACTTCCTTCCATGGTGGTTACCCAGCTGCAGAGAGACCCTGCAGTGATAGGCAGGCTAGAAACTGATGGCAGAATTTCCATGGCGAGAGCTAATTGTGTTCTCTTGTAGTATTTGCCCGGCTGCTGGTACATGCTAAATGTTTCACATTTCTGATAGGGTTCTGAATTAAATATAAAAATGCTGAGCATTCATGGAGAAGTTGAAGGGGTCGCAGTCATACTGTGTTACATCACAGTGGATCCTTATCATGGGTGGCTGGCCACAGGGTGGGTCATTATGTGCAAATAAGCCACTCTGAGTACCCATGGCTTGTAATGAGGCTGTTTAAGGTGTTTTGTTCTTGAATGGTTTACTGTGCAGATCCAGCATGCGTTCTCATTCTCAATTCAGGAATAGCTTTAGAGCAGTGAAACCTTCCACTACTCACAGACTTGTGAGTGCCGCCAGCATCCTTAAAATGGAATTTTAAAAAATAAGAATCTTGAAGAAATGGCCAAGGAATGCATCCTGAATGTGTTTGCAAGATTTTGTTTTAATTCCAGTCCTGCACAAACATGGAGGAACAAATGTCAGTGGCTAGGAATTTTGCATAATTGTCTACTCTGCCTTGAAATACGAGCAGTTTCCTCCTCCACTGTACTGCTATTCGTGCATCTTCTGTGACCCCACTTGCTGTTGTGTAACCCTCATTTATATCTGACATGGATATGGAGACCAGTGGAGGTTAGGTACAAGTGCCAAGTGGAGCTGAAAGAGGTTGGCAGTCTCAGGAGAGAAATGGCTTTACGAGTGGGTGTTCTTACTTCCGTGTAATGCGAAGCAGTGTGCGTGTGTTAGCAAGGGAAGTGCCAAAGTGAAGGACATGAACAAGAGAGGAGTTGTGGGTATGCTTGGCTAAATAGCATACAGGTGGCCTTGCCTCATGTAAAGATCCTGAAAAAAGAGCAAGAGTCCAACTCCCCCCCGCCCCTCAAATGCAGAGAAGTCTCCAGGTGGGTAGTATGTTAGAAGCAAGGGACAAGCTGCCGCCTCACCGAACCTCTTCTTGGTACAGTGATATAGGAACTCATGCATTGCTTATGTTTCTACATGTTGGATCAGCTGGTGAGAATTAGTCAAGTTGTGGGGAACATACTAGTATGGTGATTCAGAGTTGCAGTCTTTTCTAGAGTGTGTCGGCCTCTATTGCCTGAACAGTAGCAAGGATCTGTGTTCCAGGAAATTTTCTGTTTCTCACTTAAAATGGCCTTGACTGAACCTTTCTTGGGCATCAAGTTTGTGGTTTTTCCTTTTTCCTTGATGGCAAATTATCATTGTTTCAGGAAATGGATTGTGGGTATTTTGCACCTCCAGTTATAATCCATGTCAAAGGCTTCTTTTCACTCTTATGGTACTGGGAGTTAGACTCACTGGTTTCCTGACCCATGTTAGCTGGAACCTGTCAAGATTGAAGCACTCACTTAATTTGATCAAAGTAATCGTTTAAGGCTTGTCAGCAGAAAAGAATGATGAGGTGATGACCAAAAAACCAGGCTTCACAAGAGTCTAGTCAGTGCTCATTTCTTTCGGCCATTAAAATCAATTAGGCTACATCAGTTTAATTGGTGCAATTCTAAATACAAACTTGCTTGCTACTGGTGTGATAGTTTGAAAATGTACTCACAATACTGACAGAAGGAGTTGAAGCAAAGCTGCAGAAGTGATTGTTGTGAGGAACCACTTTCATTCGGGAAAGAGGGCAACTTATCGCTTGAGAAATGTGGCCAGTGCTTATAGAAATCTCAGGTAATGGGGAGAAATGGAAAAACAACATGGGTTGGGACAACAGGACTACTGTTTTCCCACCCACCTGTCCCCAGTCTTTTTGCCATTCTTCTGTTTGTTCCTCCAATCCTTCCCCACCAAAAATTTCTGTAACTAATTAGGCTTTCAGAAGCACTATTATATTAAGTAAGCAAATAGAGGCACACATGTTAAAAGTGTATACTTTTGAAATCAGAATTTGAGTTTTCTTGGTGGAGAATTTAGGCTTGCTGTCTGTTTCATCACCTCCACAAACAATAATATCAAATATTCATGCCTGTATTTGCATATTTCTCTCTGTACAGGTCGTTTTGAGCCACATCTCCTTGTGCTGCTTGGTTATATTTGTGCACTTATTGAGCATTTTCCAGCAGATCTGATAAAGGCTATATTTAACATCAAATTCTTAGCCAAACTAGATACCCAGCTTGAAAGTAAGTGATGCTTAAACTGCACCTTTAAAATGTTGTATGGGCTTAGGAAGTATACTTATATTTTGTGAATGTACTGGGTTGGGCTGGTTTGGTTTGGTTTTTGTGGGAAGGGGAACTGGAATGGTCTACTGTCTTCCAAGACACCACTAATTTCTTCAGCCTTTGGAGAATAGGGTTTTAGAAAATGACTTCAAACACTTACCTGGAAATAAGTTCTGTTAAACAGAGTGGGATTTACTTGTGAATAAGCATGCACAGGAGTATACCATCGTTACGTGTGTGTGTGTATCTGAGAGCACACATACACAGTGAAAATAAGCTAATCTCAGAATTTAGTGAGCTTTGGCACAACCCACATTCTTATCATCTAAAAATGGGCCAAGCTTTATGCTTCTTTGCTCCAGATATTTTATTATTTATTATTGAATGCTTCATAAAATGTCTCTCTTGCTGTACCATAATTCTTATAGTGCAAACAAGATCATAATAAAATCAACACTATAAAACTAATAAGGCAACACTGCATAAAGTATAATATCATATTGCAGGGAGTAGGATAATAAAACACATTGTAAGAACTAAGATAATAAAACAGAAAAGTAAAAACATTTCAAAATACTTTAAAAGATCTTTTTCACCTTAAAAAATGTAAATGTGCCCCAGTTCATTGTATGAAATATCAATGCATCATTGCTCCTCCTTGCAACAGGAAAAGGGTAAAATCTGATCCAAACTATACCTCTTCTTGAAGATATCATCTCGATATCCCAGTCCCATGTAGTGAAGAATAAGCCTTTTCTGTTGTATTCCTATGTGCAAATAAATACAGTATTGCCTGGATCAGGTAGTTCTCCCTAAAGATATTCTACTATGCAAGGTAGGGCAGGAATGAATTGTTGGTGTGTTCTGGGATTGTTCAACAATTCAATTCTGTCCAGGCTTTTTTTAGCAGACCAATGAGTTAAAAGTAATCAGGGATGGTAACAGGACAACTAAAACAGGAAATGGACTGCGAATGGCAAGGGATCCTAAGAACAACAAGAAAGCCTTCTTCGGATACATCCAAAACAAAAGGCATGTGAAAGAGGAGGGTGTCCAGCTACTTAAAGTAGATGGCAGAATAATAATAGACAGCAAGAAAAAGGTGGAGGTCCTTAATTCCTACTTCGCCTCAGCTTGCTCCCACAAGAAAAGCTACAACCAAGAGGAAGTACAATCTGAAAGTGAGAGATGGCAGCCCAAGATTGAAAGACAAATGATCAAGGAATACCTAGGTTCAAATCTCCAGGGCCTGATGAACTCCATCCCAGAGTCAGAAAAGAACTGGAGGAGGAACTCTCAGAACTATTGGCTATTATCTTCAATAAATCTCAGAAAACAGATGTGCCAGACAACTGGAGAAGGGCTAACATTGTCCCTATCTTCAAAAAGGGAGAAAAACGAACTTAAGAACTATAGACCAGTTAATCTGACATCAGTCCCTGGAAAAATTTTTGAGCAAATCAGGCTGCAGGCACCTCAAAGAAAATGTAGTGATTAATAAAAACCAACATGGATTTATCAAAAATCCTGTTAGACTCATTTAATCTCTTTTTTTGACTGGGTAACCTTCCAAATGGACAGAGGAAACATAATCTACCCCAACTTTAACAAAGCTTTTGAAATAGTGCCCCATGACATTCTGATAAGCAAATTAACAAAAAATGGACTAGATAGGAAACTATTAGGTGGATCCAAACTTGGCTACTAAGCTGAACACAAAGAGTGCTCATCAATGGCACCTTCTCAAACTGGAGGGAGGTAACTGGTGGGGTGCTGCAGGGTTCAGTCCTGGGCCCAGTGCTCTTCAATATTTTTATTCATGATTTAGATGAGGAAGTATAAGGAAGCATAAAAAATTTGCAGGCAATACAAAACTTGGGTGGAATAGCAAACCCCCTAGAAGACAGAATGAAGATCCTAGGCAACCTTGATTAAAGCAACAGAATTCTGTGCTGAAAGAAACAGAATGAGATTCAATAGGGACAGGTGCCAAGTTCTCCACCCAGGAAAAAGAAACCAAATGCATCAATACAAGATGGGGAATATGTGGCTCAACAGAACTGAAAAATTATATATGGGAGAAAATGAAAGCTTACTCTATAAAGAAATGTAATTTTTATGGAATGCAGCTAGCTACAGTGCGGAAAAGAGACCATGGGATTTGGCAATAATAAAAAGGCTACCTAGATATTAAATAACTTCCTAGCAGAGAACGACTTACCCTGTATGGCACTAATTTATCACCTTCAGCTACAGCCACAGATCCCTTAGTGTCATAGAAATATTTGGAGAAATTTATTAGATAATGCCAATTGAGCCTAATTTGCTAAAGTCACTCAGTTTTAGCAAATGTCATATTTGTTTGAAACATAAGTAAGCATAATTAGAAAAATTCAGCCCCCAAGTTGCTATTTAAATTTTGTCTGCTGTACTGCAACTTTGGTCTGGCTCAGACTCCCCCCACCCCCCGTGGTTGGCACCTGTCCTCATCTGTTCACTCAGATGAGAGTCCCTGCACTGAATAGGGCCCACATCCAAGTACAGAAGATTGCAGTCTCCCTGGCTACCTCGAACCCCGTTGTGTCCTGCCTGAAAGGAAAAGCGTGTCCAACCTCTGCCCCCAAAAGTCATCCATTTGTGCTTTGCTTCAGCTGCAGCCAGGCAGAGCAGCCACCCTCTTCCTGTTCCCTCATAGAGAGATGGAGGGAGGCAGAGCAGGCAACAGGAACAAAGGCAAGGAAGTGCTCCCCCCCCCACATTGAATCTGTGACATGCTACTAGCTGGGGCCCCTCGAAATGCCAGACAGCTGAAGAAGGCATATATGTGCAAACTCCACCTTCCACATTTAGGAAGAGGGTGCCTACATCACCTGAATAACATCGCTCTTTTGAGGGTCACCTGTCATCCTTAGCATATGGCTTGGCAGTAATTTAACCCTGTCTAGCTTCTTCTGGTGCATTGTCTGCACCTTCCTTTTCTGGCATTCTCAAGTATTCACGTCCGCTTTGTGGTTTGCAGGCCACTTTTGGGGACTTCCTGACCCAGCACATGTGTTGGGTCATTTGCCAGAAGTCATGCCTATATTGCTATTATACATGTCCCCTAACTAATAGCATGTTTGTGTTCCCATAATACCCCTTCTGCTTGTTCCATGATATTATTTCTACTATATTGATTGTAGTTTAAGCCTAGAACTCTCTTCCTGAGAGAATCTACCTTTATCAGGGACAAGCCAGGAAAAGTCCTGACCACATCAGGTCAGCATAGCTTGTAATTACGTTCACAGTGAGAGAAAGGCAAAGTCATATGCATATAGTTTTGCATAAGGGCTTGCTTGTATTACAATATTCATAACACAGATAACGAGTGCATTGGCCAACATGCTTGATTTAGGTCCTGCAGAGCACTTGCATCATCCGAATTGGATCAGTTAACCAGTTATTGGTGTACTCTTCAGAATAAATTGAAATGAGACTATTGTGTAGTATGGGTATAGAGGTGCAGGAATCGGAGCCCCCCTCTTCCCATCACCTAAATGTTGTGCTGCCATGAAAACAAGATTTAAATGCCAACATAATAAATAGCAAGTTGTGATGCAGTCTTTTGTCAGAGACTGCAATGAAGCCAAACATGATTTCCCTCCCCCAAATAAATTTTAATTGAACTTCATTGAGTAATTGTTATGATCAACAAAGAGCTTTGTAGCCTTAGAAATAAAGGTGTTTTGAATTCTGCATTTTGTCTTTTTCATTGCTCACACATCCAGTTCTACAGAAAACACTGCTAGTTCTTGGTTTCTGTATTTCTGGGTGAGGTAACTTCCAATTAAGTCATTCATAATGTCTATCCTAAAGGGCTGCCTGCTTGCTTTAATACTAAGAGATGTGCCTCTGGACATGCTGTTCTAAATTCTATTTTGGTGTTTGCTTTGCTTTTTTTGGGGGGCGGGGATTAGTACTCCCTGTTTCCTTAAGCAGAAAGGTCCACACCCGACTGATGGAACTGAACCGAGCAGTCTGTTTAGAGTGTCCAGATCTGCAGATTCCATGGTTTCATGAGCAATACTGTCAGCAGCTTATGCAAAAAAGTGAGTCTTTACATGTAAATATTCATTAGAGTTCTATTTATTTCTACTCGGAGATTACAAAGATGGAAGGCTGGACTGCTCATTCTTTCAATACAAGCCTGCCTTGTCATCATGGATGAATTTGCTTTGTCAAACAATATGAGTTTTTTAAAATAGTGAGCAAAGCTACATACAGTTTCTGATAATGTAAAATGTTCTTGAAAAGTGAGTGTTGGTATTTTGTATTAGCAACTCAAGGTAACTTTCCTTTATATTTGGTTCTGACTTCCCCCTCACTAGGCAGTGGTAACCGCAGGGCGCTGCATCAGCAGATTCACAGACTGCTGGGAGAAATTTTGGGAGGAAGCCATTTTGTCAGAGTGTCTGTATTCACCTCTTACTACCATGAAATTGGTGAGTGTTTCGTTAGTGGAAAGTTCTCTTTGGTTCAAAGCTTCATGAAATGTATCTTCTGAGCATCATTACCAGGTCAGTGACTTAAATGGAGAGAGAAGGAGAAACAGAAAATTTCATTCATTTAGTTGTATGCAACTTCAGGTGTAGCAACCACATTATTAGGAGGGAACAGGCTAAAATCAGCATCTGAAGATAAGACAGCACAGCTGTTGGAGATCCTCTGTGTACCTAGCAAGACTGAAGGGAGGCTCGTCTCTCTGTCTTCCTGGTAACTGATCCAACACCAGCTTCATGTGGAACACAAGTGATGGGCCCTTGCATCATAGTTACGGCTGCTGCTGGCTGGCTGGCTGGCTGGCTGGCTGGCTGCACAGGCCTGCGATGCTTTCAGCTCCATTCTTGCTGCTGCCCAAGTGGCTCATGTGCTCTTGACCTGGTTCCCCAAATGCTTTGGCACACTTAAAAATACCTGCAGATAGCGAGACGCTGTCTCTGGAGATAGCAGCGGGGAGATGGGTGATCAGAGATAGTAGAGGGACAGCTTGGGACGTCTCTGTGCTGGAGGGGAAGCTGTCCTCTACCTCCTTTCAGGGACAGAGCCATTCCTTGGTATCATCCAGTCACTGCGATGTGGGGCCGTCCGCCCTCCTCAAAGCACTTGTGCACCGCTGGTTTATATTATTGCAGTATTGCAGTTTTGTGCTGGATCCTAAGGTGTAATTTTCATTTTAAAATATTTGCTAGAAATGTTATATCATGCCATGTTGTCAGTCACCAGGAATAATAATTATGTTCTTTCAGATTTTGAATGTGTTCTTGATAGAAATAAGAAGCCCCTTCCCTATGTGGATGAGAATGGTGCCCGGGCTGACTTGAAGAACGTGCACTGGAGCCAAGAGAGCCCGCTCTTGGAAAGGAAGGAACTACCTCCAGGGGCTCAGAGGTTATTCTCTATTTTCGTGTGGTTGGTTATTCAGCATTTTCTCTCCCTTCGTATGGGTTTGCACCAGCTTTGCAACTAGAAATGCAGGGAGTGTGGTCCATCGTATCCTTTACTTCCCACACCCACTTGCGCTTTGGAGCAGGAGAGTGGCAGACTGCATTTACATTTTCAGTTACCAATATCTATACATGATACTGGAAAGTAATACTCTGCTGAGCTTTTGTAGGATTTGTTTTCCCTGGAAAACGTCCTGATTTAGAGGCAGAACATGAACATGTGTGTGTATGTGTGAGGAGTTTACTTTGCGCACTCTGCATTTTTTTTAATGCCTCCTCACAGCCTTCCCTGATCTTCTGATGCTGGTTGATACCTTTTTTTTACTTTAAAAAGGATCCTTCAGGGCAGGCATTCTTCATCCCAGCCAGTCAACAATCATGTAATTGTCATGATGCCATATAACCTCTTAACTCTGGCTATGGGATGACAGTGAGAGAGCAAATGAATCATATTGGGTTTCCATTAATTTATTGCAGCTTATTCAGGAGGGACTCCTTTTGTTCTATATGCAGACTCACTCTCTTATTGATCGATAAGAAATTTCAAACTTGGATCTGTGTTTGCCAGTCAATAGCAAATAGATTTCTCATTGGCTCTATTGTAATTAAAAAAAAATCTGCTTCAGTGTGTTTTTGAACTGTATTTGCTCTGAAGAAAAACTTGCAGGAATACTTTTAGAAGTATATGTATGCCACATGTAGATCACATTGCAGAGATTCTTGCCCAGTCAGATATGAGATACTTCCCTTTTGCAGTGTTGCCCATTCATTTCAAAGGAGGAAGGTGCATATATGCTGGGGAATGAGCATGGATTAATGGGAACCAGGACAACTGTTTTTGTTAGAGACATTTTGTTCATTCTTCAGCCTTCTCATGTTTACAACAGATTTTCAGCCTAAAATTGCCTTAACCAAAAATGAGAAGGCTTTTTCAGATTTATTAAATATACTAAAACAATAAGTATGGTTTGCTTTTATATATCATCATATCTGAAAGTCAATGTTCTGGATTATATTTTATTCAGAATTGCAGTGGAGTTTCTTGATTCGAGTGCCTTTTGCAGTAATTCAAATACTCCAACTGGAGAAACAGCTATAAAAAAGAGACATTTGGAGATTCTAGGTTACCATGTTGTCCAGGTATGGTGTGTGCTATGTTTTGTAAATATTAATTAGAATTGTATTATTTGAGAAAATACTGCCATAAGCGGAATGTGTCTTATCACATTTTGTATCTCCTCCAAAGATTGCAGTCAAATCTAAAAGTAGCCATATCATTGGACCAATACTGTGGATTTTTGTACAAAAAAAGTTATGTAACTTTTCTTTTTTTCAGATTCCTCATTTTGAATGGAATTCCATGGAACTGTCATCAAAGGATGCTTGGATAGAATATCTAAAAAAGAAAATATTTGAAAGGGCTTGACTGTTGCCATATAGAGAAGACACACAATCATGAAGTTATTTTATGAGGAATTTTATTATGAAAATTAAATGTTTTCAATCTAAAGAAAGTTTCTGTGAAATATCTTTAAACTGGAGATCATCAGTGTGTCACCAAACACATACCATGACTCTAATCCCGCAAAGGAAATTTCTGTGCAAAAGCAGGCTTAAATACCTGCTGTCTTTACTGAATACACATTGTGTTATGGTGCTCCTTTGGATTTCTTTTAAAATGATGAGATAAGTTGTCTGAAGCAGATGGAGACCATACGCCACTGCTCCCTCAGGGATCAGACCATCTCTCTTTATACTTGGAATCGGCCAGTTTTGAAAGGGTTGCACATGCTTACCAGAATACCCTTTAAAGTAGGGAAATAGAAAAGATGAGTGTACAGAGGTAACAGCAGCAGAAGAGAGACAAGACAAAAAAATATAACAAATGCAGGAAGACTTGCATGTGGAGGGCATATGAAAGTGCAGTCCTGTAGCATTGGAAGAGAGTGGTATGCTTTAGAATATAGAAGGAGAAGCAAGAGGGAGTGGGAAAGACCCAGGGCTGTACTAAGGAGAAGAGAATGCTGAAATACTTACCCTGTACATAATGCTTTCAGATGAGGGAAGTTACAAATTATTTGTTAGAAGAATAAACAACGATAATCATGGCTAAAAAATAACTGGATTAAATGTGTAATGAATTTTCTCTGGATAACAGTGCAGTTCTGTTAATAAAAGTCCAAAACTGGCCCCACAGAGTGATTTTATATATTTTACATTTCCTTCATGCAGAAAAACTAAGAAAAGGAAGAAACAGTGTCCTGCTTGAAAAGTAGCAGCAGAAGAAAATCTGCTCCTGTCTACATGATTTTGGCTCAAATATATGATAGTGTTTGTGTATAGCCAGTTTCCTTATCTTGCACTGTCTCTTTTGTTTAGAGCAGGTGCAATGCCAAATGCGAAATACCAAATGATCAGATTAATATAAAAGAGCTGAGTAACTGCTGATTTTTTCCCTGAATTTTGGTGCTTGTTTCTCATTTTTCTAATCTTAACATGGTTTGTTCTGAACTTCTGAGAATTTTAAGTAAGGTTGCATGAAAACATGTGCATTTTCAGTGTTGCTTAATGTACAGAATTTTGCAAATTTTTCTAATGTATGTTTAAACATTTTTTGTTATTTTCATTGTTGTGTTTTTCCCAAGAGAATCATTTTTGTACACAATATTGATTGGATAACTACAGAAAAGTGCAAATTGTGAAGGATACTGAGTTTACTTCATGTGCTGGGTTCAGATGTACTAAAATGAGAACAGAATGCATTCTTCCTGCATCCCTACAGTGAAACCACCTGTTCTTTCTGCAGTTTTACTAAGTCTGCATGGGCCTCCTTGTTCTTTCAAAAGAAATTTACACAAAACTGCAGCCTTGGACTATTATCACACCAGGCAACATCTGTGCCACATCCTGCCTCTTTTGCTTAATAGTCAGTCTATGTGTCTTAGTTTCTCCTAGTAGAGGAAAGTATGTCACTGCTTGTTTTGCAGAACTGCTTTTGTCTGCTGCACATGGCAGTCTGAAATTTCTATAGTGGTGCTGAAGAAAGGGGAGCCCCTATCACGTTACTAAAAACAGGTCAGAAAAGCCTGGCACACTTCCTCTACCAATGCTGGCAGCAAATTACTGAGCTGCAGAACTTCATGTAGCTTCACTTCTCAGTGTCCAGAAAAGATTAGCTCATGTTTTAACGGTAATCAAAGGTGACCTTTAGCAAGTGGTGGTTCCTGCATGACCTGACTATTAGAATGAGTTTTAAAGAAAGCATAGAATTTAATTCTAGCAGTTGTATAGTTTCAGGAATCCTAGACAGCAGGTGCTTCTGCTTGTGCCAAGGGGCCCCTCATTTTTGGCAATTCCACCTCATTGCAGCTTTTGTGTCACATGCTATCCTGTTCCCAACCCACAGGTGCTCTGGTGAACTACAGAGGTAAGTAAAAAGTGAAAGTCCTTTGAACTGCTTTGAACAGAGCAGGAGTTAGGCTACAAATCTGTATTATAACAAAGATGGTGAATGTTGGTTTGATAAGGAACAATCAAAGATACTTTGACCACCAAGACAACCTGGATGATTGGGGCAACAACTATATTTGCATGTGGAATGGCAACAGAAATTCCACTGGCAGAAAACTGCAAAGCTCCCAGACTAATTTTTGTCAAATTCAATTTTATTCAAACTTGTGGTACAATTTATTTCAAATTCAAAATGTTAGTAAAAACGGGTGGGGGAATTTTACACCTACAACAGTTAATGCATATTTTGGATAGATACATTAACAATTTAAATGAATGAATTGTGTTATTAATCTCTGTACAGGATGGGTTTACACATCAATACCAGAGGCCATAAAATATTCCTCATCTGACTTCCCATTTACAGCTTTGACAGCTTAAACAGATTCAGGCTAACTGAAAGACAGGAAGCCCCAGATGCATAGCGGATTTCTTTCAGCATGCCACACCATTCTTTCTTCTCATCATCGTATCTGCAGGGGCAAATGTTAATATTAGTGACTGCAGTGTAACTCTGAGCAAGATGGGCCACCCCTCAGTTATTTTTAATCCCATTCCTCAAAATAAATGCATGGATAATCTATGTACTTACAGGAACTCAGTATGATTGAGAATTCAATTGCTAACATAAATATGGAACTGCAAGTTAATATATAAAAATAACAATACCATGTAGGAAACTAGGGCTCTTGCTCCCCCCCCCCCCATCCCTACCTCCCTTTCTTTTTTTGGTAGCCACCCATTGTCTCCTGTAACATGCTGTACTACCCTCAGACCCTTTAGCAGTCACAACTGAGGACATTCCCTTGGAAAATATTATGAAAATGTCTGTATTGTGAATCCCTTCAATGTTTTCAAATCCCACACATTAATTAGGAGATACACAATAAAAGACTAGTTAGGGTGCTGAGTTGTTTCTTCTCATTTTTAGCTTTAGAATATCTCATTTTCATTGTGGTCATCTTATCGCTGCTATTTCCTCCAGCTGAAGATTTTAAATTGTGCTAATTCTTTCTTCCAAATACTAGATAGTTTTTGCTTCATGTGGTGCCTTCATGTCAGGGATATTAAGATTTTGTTCTCTGTACAGGATTTTGAAGTCCAAACCCCTGAATTAACATTCTTTATGTGAGGCCTTACATGAATATTAGCAGAAAAATAAACTAAACCTACATTTGGTACATAAAGCATGCCCAGAACAGTGGATCTTCACTGGACTCTACAAATAATCTCACCCAGGTCTAATAAATATGTTAGTCTTTTACACTGCAATCCTATGCATGGATATTCAGAAATATGCCCCATTCAGCTCAATGGAGCTTGCTGCATTAAGAAGAGCCATGCTGGAGCAGACCAGGGTCCATCTAATCTAGCATTCTGTTTGTACACGGCCAATAAGATGCTCAGATGAAAGCCACAAATAGGACTTGAGTGCAGCAGCACCTTCTTGCCCACATTCCCCAGCAGCTAGTTTATAAGCGCACTGCCTCTGCTGCTGGAGGAAGCATCCAGTCATCAGGAGTACGTAGCAGGCATAGATAGCCTTTACCTCCATGAATTTATGCCATCCCCTTTCAAAGCCATCCAAAGTCGTGGGCATTACAACTTTTGTGGAAGTGAAATCCATAGTTGAATTATGCAGTATATGAGAAAGTTCTTCCTATGACCTGTCCTGAATCTCCCACCAATCAGCTTCGTGGGATGACCCTGGCTTCTAGTAAGACAGAGGGAACAAACGTCTCCCTATTATAAATAAAATACCCACATTTGCCTCACCATACATAATTCTTAGACCTCTATCATGTCTCCTTTTTTCTAAGCTAAACAATCCCAGCTGTTGTATCCTTTCCTCACAGTGGAGATGTTCCAGCCCCTGGACAGACTTAGGCAAGAAAAGAAGAGTAATACACAAACTTACTTCCAGATGTCATTCACCTCATTAGGTGCAAACTCCTTTGATTCAAGCTGAACCATCGCAAAACCACCAATTGCATATAAGGAGCCAGCCAGATCAACTAAACTGATAGAGCTTCTCTCCTGTGGGAACTCTGGCATAACCTCCCATCTGTAATTTAACAAATAGCACGTTTAGTATTTAAACATGATTCTGGAAGCGGGTGGACAGCTCAAAACTATATTATATTTGTATATGGATTTCTACTCTCTTGGTTCTGAATATGCAACATCTGGAGGCATCTTTATAAAATTGGAGACAAAAGACTATGTAGAGAAATAAAATCTGCAAAATCACAATCAGGTACTGTGATGCTATGTTTCTATAGCCCCATTGGTGAGGGTGTTTAAGGATAGGCTGGACATGTACATGGTAGGCGTGCCATGAGAGCTGGCTGATCAGACTAGATGGTCCAGGAGACCCCTTCTGACTTCTGTTTCTATGTTTCTATTCTAAACAATCATGTCTAGCAAAGAACAGCAATTCACATGTAGAAGTAGGCTGCTGTATACAGTATATGAATCTATGCTAGGTCACAATCACACAGCACAGAAGGATACAGTACATTAGGTTACCATTGCTGGATCATGTGTCTGGTACTTGGTGCTACAAACATAGTACCCAAAACACTAATTATATGAGAAGAAAGGGGGGCATGCTCCTTCTCTCCCAGGAGATTCACACTCCTGCTCTTCAAAAGGGAGGCCAGTGCTGCCAAGGCTGACAGCACTGATTGGACTGCCAGGTACATGCATTTCACTAAGGAGAGCCATTAATTTGTACCACTTGCAACTGATCGCAATGGAGCTAACTTCTAAGCACATTGTGATGTGGGACTCCTATGAGAACACTAAGGTCACTGAGAATATGTACTGAAATGTTGGAAATCTTTGCTTTGAATGTGGTCACTTGAGAATGAGATGTCTAGGGACAGTTCAAATGCAGAGGCCAACTAATTGCACATTTAGTGAGTCTACAAGAAATCTAGGAGTAATTCAGTTCTATGAATGCTTGTTCACTGTGATTAAGAGGACATCGAAGTACTTAACAAAAAGACAAAGTAGCAATAGGCAAAATCAGGCAGGACAGTAGCTCATGAATTGAATTCTTAAACACTGAGAGTAGATAACACTAACTTGTTAGTGGCGAGATCGAATGCTTCCACAGAAGCCGACAGGCCATCTTCAGTAACACCTCCCGCAAGGACAATTTTGCCTTTATGGACAGCAATACCGAACATGGAGCGAGCCACTTTCATGGGGGGAAGATCACGCCAGTCTCCTCTCTTGGGATTGTATATGAATACTCTGTTAGTGCATTTTCTGTGGAAAGAAGCATCAATAGTTCCCAGAAGTCACATCTCATTTCAGTGTAGATAAGCAGAACCTTTCAGGTATTTGAAATTCACATGCGTTTTTAACAAAGTCGCAACTTGGAACACTTAACTAAATGATTCATGTTGTATCAGTTGTTTATTTATCAGTACTTTTTAGTGGCTGGCTTCATCCTGCCATGTTCTAGAGCTTACAGTATGTTGCACTATTTAAGCTTCATTTTAACTATTTTGAAATTATAGTCTGTTCAAAATTGTAACAAATTGTAACAATCTGAAAATTAAAATAAAATGCTTTTTAAAAAGTTATGCTCACCTCAATTAAAAAGTATAATACAATGACAGTGAATGGCAAATATGGCATCTAAAACTAGATCCCAGCACAGGCCATAGTTAACCCTGATTTTTCAAGTTAGGAAGAGTAATTACATACCTATTGAATTTTGCTGCATGTTATAAAACCATAAAAATAAAGATAGCTCATGCTTGTAGGGTTAAGGAATTAAAATTTATTGATAAACTCTGCATGTTTATTTTGAATGTGATTAAACTGTACAATATACATTTTGAGTAAACATTTTAATCTATGAAATTTATGATCATTTTTCTCCATGTGTTATCACAGCAGTATCCAGAGAATGCTGATGTTTATTTCCCAGTATATTTACCCAGTTAAATGCCTATTCTTTTAACTGGTGGGCTTTTTGTTGAATCACAATTAGATCCTCATTGTTCCTCCTATCAATTCTATTGCTCCCTTATGATTTTGTGTTAATTCTGCGGTAATAGGTTGACCTTAACATTCTCAACTCTTTCAAGCTCATGCTACACTGGTTTCTACAGCAAAGCAATATGTTCACCAACTTGTTGCACGGAAGTAGTTACACAGCCAAAACCGGGAGAATTCTAAAACAGGGTTCTGTTTCTGTCAACTTGTGGGCCAAACTAAATTTAGAGAGCGTGTAGAACATTACCAGGGTAAGTGAGGCGAAAAGCATAGAGAGGAGCAAAAATACCAAAGGAAAATGTACACAGTTTTGAAACAATCTGATACTCACTTATCATCAGTCTTGCCCCCAAGACAATATATAGCTCCATTATGGGAAGCTGTAGCATGACCATAAACCTTGAGTGGGAGCTTTTTCACTTCACTCCATTTGACTGATCTGGAATGTAAGAAGTGATCAGTAAGTCATTTCAGTTGAACAGAAAATACATTAAAAGTCTCATTCATTCACACTACTATAGTAGCCCAAGCTCATTTGGGAGTTCACAGAAGCATCACAATGCACAATATGAAGTCTCTAACGTACAATATTCAAAACAATATTAACATCTAAAGCCAGTTATAAGGTCCTGGATGAGGTAAAAGGAATGGACATACATGCCCCCGTCACGTACCACCAAAGAATAGCATGTTGCTACCTACGTGGGATCGTAGCACAGCACTGAATCCAGAGACTCCTCAGTTTGGAGGTCCTTGCCTGCAATTACATAGATCTTGTTCTCCAGTTCTCCCAGTCCAAACAGACATCTGGCTGATGGTAGTGGAGGAAGGCCAACCCATTCAGAAGTTATGGTGTCCAGCTTTTCAAAGTTCAGAAGAAATGTTAGCAAAGCATAGAACAAAAACCTACATAGCAAAATCTGCCCCATAACAGCTGATTTAATGTTTTCTGGTTTTTAAAACTTCTGTACATTTAGAATTCAGAAACTGATTTGCTTAGCCCATCCTACAAGCTCCACCTATCAACAACTTGGTGATAACTCTACCTATATTCCTAGGTTTCTGGGTCCTTTGTGGATCCTCTCAAAAAATACTGTAGCATGCTCCAACAATTAGTGATGTTTGCCACTTTACATTGCTCTGCATTTCTGCTCTTTCCCAATGACTGTTTCTTGTTCAAAATTTACACTGCAGTGGCTACTTCCAGTTCTGTTATTCCTAAAGATTGCTTTACTTTGGTCTAGTTCTCATGAAGACTCAGTCTGGACTATAGCCCCTCAAGAACTGGGCTGAGCTGAAACAGGGAGTCCTTCTTGCAAATATTTCATGTAGAGCATAAGAAAATTCCCTGTTATTCAGAGGCATTCTGTTTTAGCAGAAAGGGGAGGACTGTGAGCAGGGAACAGATTCCAACTTACTGGTGATTCCCGTTGTGCCATTACAAGGGAAGGGAAGGGGTTGCAGAGTGGCTAGTCCAGCTGCTACCTGCCTTGGAACCAACTGGAATGCAGGTTGGTTCTCCTGGTGACACTTTCCAGGTATAAATTGGGGCTCATAGAGGGCCCTAAAACTCCTACCTCTCTCCTGCACACATCTAGCATGAGAACTGGGTTAGGACTGGCTTCCAGCAAGCTTACCAAGGACTATGTCTTGCAAAATCTATTTAAGCTAGAGTCAATACAATGGTGGTCCTATTTAACGCATTGGAGGTATGGGTGTTCATGATTACTCTGCCTATCTCTTCTCCCCTCCAGATTAACCACATGCTCCCAACACAAAATCACGAGTGTTCTGTTTAATTTTAAAATTAATAGAAGCTATATAGGATTGGAGAAAGAAAAGATTGGGTGCTGGTTTGCCCTGTGGTGAAAATATTGCTACTATTGTTTCCTCTTACAGGGCAAATAGCAGTTTCCAACTTTCAATTAACCAAATTTTTTAATTGCAACAGCATTCTGGGGGATCTTGGTTTCTTCAAACTATGGTTTCTTCAACAAGCCAAGGTCAAACCATAGTTAATAATCTCACATTAACCAGCCATTGATTTATCATGGTTTAAACTGGACAGAATCTCTCAAATTCATAAGTAGCAGGGAATTTTAACTGACTGAAAAGTGGAAACAGATGCTTCTTGGTTTCACAGCCTCATCAGAGGCTCACTGTTGTTGTGCCCATGATACTATTAACTATGTATTAGCATTACGTGCAAAATCGCACATTGTAGAAAAATTACAAACTGTCCATTCCTGGCTTCTGATATTTAAATTCAGTCCTCAAGAGGAGAATGTATTATGTTGTAATGAACTTAATAAAGAACATTTACGAGGTGATCAAATGTACAACATGTCTTGACCTAGAAGCCTGCATAGGATAGGGAATGGCATAGTTCAGTGCTACAGCACATGCTTTCCATTCAGAAGATTTCTGGCATTGCCAGTTAGGGCTGGATAAACTGATGTCTGAAACCCCAGATAGCTGCTGCTAGTCAGCGATGACAATATGGGACTAGATGGACCCGTGGTGTGACTCAGCATAAGGCAGCTTCCTATGTGCAGTCAGACTGTATATAAATGGATGAATTAGACCTAGCATTAAATGCTGAAATCAGTGTGAATGGAGGGACATAAGGTGTCTGCAGAAGATACCATGCCCTCCAGAAATGGACTAGGATGCCAAAATATGTGAGACAAAATGTAAGAGTAACATAGTAGAAAATTATGGATGAGACACATTGGCCAAAATTAAAAATCAAGCTTAGACCAGCTATTCGTCTGAACAAGCATCAAGGGGAGTAGGATCTCAAGCATGGGCTGTGCCCTCACTCTCTTTTCATTTTGATGGAAGCTCTGAAAGAGCCTACGCAAGTGTGAACGGCACACGTGTAGGCCTCTCTAGACTTTCCATTCCAAGTATTTAACATGGCAGGGCTATCAGTGAGTGCCATTCTGCTGACCCCATTCATGTATTCAATGCACTCATGACAAAGAGGACACAGTTCCATGGTTTCTATTACAAAACCAATACAATTCACTTTCACTGACATGCACTGGCAATACAGTGTTACCAGTGAAAATGTAAAGAAGCTGTTACTGGAAAAGGCTTATAGCACTGAGAATAGTCTACAAGGAATGGTGAAATTATGTGACAATATTACAGGTAAGCAGCATGACAGAATGATGCGATGAATTATCAAGCATCTTTGCTTCTCTGAACTATTATGACCCCAAGCTAGAATGATCCTACAGAATGTACAACTTCTAGAAACTGAGAGATGGTGAACCAAAGTAATTATATGCCAGAGATGTACACAAACATTGCTTTTTTAGCACTTGGAGCTAACTTATACCCAAAAAACCAAGAGATTTATACCTGGAAAAAGTATGACTGGAAAGGCTGTTCCTTGTTCTCTTCATCCACATACAGTCCTCCCACGACATAGACCTGCTTTTGCTTAGAGACTATGCTGGAATGATTTCTGGGAATCTGTTCTGACAGCGCTGCCAGGTAACATTCATTCTCTGTAGGATCATAAGCCACAGAAGCAGTATCATTGATTAGAAGAATGAGGTCTTTGACAAACATTCCATGCCTTGGAATATCATTTAGGTAACCAGGGAGCAAATTTTCATCCCCTACATCGCCATTAACCTCTCCTTTAGCCGACTTCCCTGCACTTTTGGTAGGCTCAGGCAATTTCCCAGCAAAGGCATCTTTAATAACCTTCACTTTTTTCGAAAGATCAGCGTTGCTCTTGATTAGTTCATTCTTTTCAACATGTTCCTTGAAATACTTCTCCTCCATCAGGCGAAAGCGGATACAGTCAAACACTTCTCCAAGATTCTTCATTCGATTCTCTTTATCTGTCTTCACCCATTTCATTACAGCCTCAAAAACCACTTCCTCTTTTTCAACATTCAAACTGTCTGGCGAAATAACTGAGATGAGTTCGTGAGGCGCAAGTTGCATGAAGTCCTCCTCTTTGCAAATCTTCACAAAATGGTCTGAGACAAAATCACGGGCAGACAGTGCTAGTCTTGGGCAGTCAAGGAGGAGACCTAATCTAAGGATGGCCAGGCAATTACCAACAGCAAGTCTTTTTTGGAGGTAAGAAACACACACAGTGAAAATAGAAGGAATTTGAAAGCGGCTCGCCAAGGCAAAGATATCTTGCACATTAGAATCATTGAGGTCGATGCTCGCAGAATAAAGGTACTTAACAATCATGTTGAGAATGACCGGATCGACGTTATCGAGGACTACCTCTTTCTTCTTCTCCTCACTTTGCTCTGATAAGAAGTACTCGCGGAAATAAGGACTACAGGCTGATAGAATCAATCTGTGACAAGGAAGACTTTTATCCCCAGCTTTTAGGGAGCAATCAACAAATTTTTTCTCTTCCAAAAGCTCCCTGAGGCCATCCTGAAGAAGAGTGGATTGATAAAGGCGAAGCTCTTCAGTGAGTTCTCTTTGGGAATCCATTATGCAGAAGGCTTAGACAAGGAGGTAGAAGAGAAAGCCCTCTTGCTGGTACCTAGGTCTGCCAGAAAAAGACAGATCAATGTGCTTTGCCCAGCTTGAAGCTTCTGTAATTTAATCTAGCCAGCTAAATATAGGAACCAACTTTCATAGGCTGGAATTTAGGATGCATGGTGTGGAAAGAAGAGTGGAGTTTGCAGCTGTCATGAATTGAAAGAAGCAACTGTTGCTTTTAGTCACTAGGGAATCAGTTTTACTTGGTTACACACACTGAATCACTGCGATTACTTATAGAAGCCTGCGTTAACAAGGGTGTAGCATCAGGTCCAAAGAAGATGCTATGAAGCAGATCTCTAAAACATTGTTCTTACTTAATACTCTAAAGCATGTTCTGAAAAGCTGGAAGTCAGCAGATGAAATTATGGTGGCCATTCATAACAGATTCATTCACACTGCTTAAAAGGTGATTGTTTCAAAGAAACTGGGACAAAGTATATGCCCATGAGTACCAATTCCTATTAAATGTACGCTGAATACATCTAGAAAATTATTTTGTTCTGTCAGTATGCTTACCTATTACACCAGGGGTCCTCAAACTTTTTCTAAAGGAGGCCAGTTGACAGGTGCCAGCAGTGGGTGCAGACCGCCAAGGTGGTGCCGGCAGGGGGGCGCAGGCCGGTGAGGGGGTGGGGTGCGTGTGCACTTGCGCACATGAGGCGAGGTGGGGACGGGGTGTGTGTGAGGAGAGGCGTCGGCTTGGTCACGGGATCGAGTCCAAAACTACCTCCGTGCAAGCAAGCCGCCGCTGGGCACGCGCATGGCAAGGCACCGGCTTGCTCGCGAGAGATCATTTTCTCCAAAACGATCTCCTCACAAGCAAGCTGCCACCGGGCGCACAGCGAGGCGCCAGCTTGCTCACAAGGAGATTGTTTTCTCCGAACTAGTCCAAAACAACCTCCTTGTGAACAAGTCAGGCATGCGCCCGGCGAGTGCAAAACTTGTGGGGCAGGCTGGTTAAATGGACACGGTGGGCCGCATCCGGCCCCCGGGCCTTAGTTTGAGGACCCATGCATTACACAAAGGTCAAATAGCCACTGATTTAAAATAAAAGCAGGGCTGAATCCCAAATATTAACATATTTTAAATGGATCAGTGATCCAGTGAGTGCTTAACAGTCAGGCTACGCATGAATGCTCAACCAGGTTATATATGTTTTATATAATTTAAAGCTTAAAATGGGCTCAAGAATGGCAAAATGGATTCTGCTAGAATCGTTTTAAAATATACATTTCATGGCAGCAAATTAAGTGCTCACTTGACTTCACACAATAGGAAGTTCTCCCACTGCTGAAGTAAAAAAAAAAAAACATTCCAACTGTGAATCAGTGAGAACAGCACTCAGAGCTTGTTGTTTGGTACCATTTACTCATATTCACCTTCATTCTTTCAATTTAGAAGAGACTGTATCAGAAGGAATGGGCTGAGTCCTGACCAAGTTGACTACATAAAGGCCTCATGGAAATTGAAGTGAAAAGTTAGTCATGACTAACATAGGTCCCAGTGATTTCAGAGTGAGCTGGATTCAACCTTACAAGTTAGGGAAGATTAAATAGACTTCTCCCAATATATTCTCAAAAGATCAGCTGCTATAATAACAGCCGGATGAACAGGTCATTTGACATTTTTCCATTTATAGAAATTGTGTGCAAGGTCTTATCTCACTTGAAAACAGAACAGCTGCCTCTCTCAAACAATAAATGACATTTAATTTTGCATGCAACACTGTTGGATCACTGGATGCAAGCATTATGTTGTAGTACATTAACTTCTGCCCCCTTTGGGAAACTATTTTTACATAAAGAAAGCTGGTGTAGAATGTTTTAACTGGATTACAGTGTTCTGAATGCTTTTGGATATACATATTGAATTCTACTTGGGATTTGTCCAAAGGTCAAAGTCAGTGACAGTACATTAATATCACTAGCATTTGAATTCAACATATTTATCATAGCTGGGTGAATCTTCAGCAGGAAGAAATTCTAGACTTATGGATTCTCAGCATTTGGTGACTTTTAGCAAAACAATGATCAGATCATTCATCACACTTATTTGGAAATAAGTTGCACTGAAATTGGATTTATTTCCAATTTAATGTTCAATGAGGTGACACGGTAGCTGTGATGGCATAGAGAACTAATAAATGAGGTGAGCAATACGTATTAGCTAGCATCTAATTCAATAATCAAAAGATTCTTAGGTTTGATGCTACAAAGTAGAATCAGCAGTAGGGAGGGCCTGTGCATATTAAATTTGTCTTCAGCAATAATTAGACAGCAAAGAGAATCAAGAAATTAGATAAATCAGGCTGAAGAGATTTTTTAAAAGGTGCAATGGTATGCCAAAGATCTAAATGTGATAAAGCACCCAGTGAATTGCACAAATCTACCATCCAATAGATTGCCACTTATTTTATAAAATGCATTCAAAGTTAAGAAGTATCCAGTATGAAATTGATGGAATGAGTGAAGAATGTTTTACTGGTGAATGGAGCCATTCTAAATCCAGTTTGGCCAGGGAAGGAGGGGGAGGGGGAGGAGATGCCACTTTTCCACACCCAAAAGGAAACACCATCACTCAGTAATCCAATTTAGTCTGTGGCAAGCTGCTCTCAGTGGCATTATTGCCATTGGATGCAAGCACAAAGCCTCATGTAGGAGAGGGCGGAAGCCAGCTCTGGACTCCACATCCTCAAGAGGGGTACAGAATGAAGATGCCGTGGCTTATTTCCTTGCTCCCACCTCTTGCTTCTACACTGCTTTGCAAACTTTAAGGTACAGCGTCATTCAGAAATATGACATCTCTCATTTTTTCCCTTAAATAAGTCTTTATTTACATGAGATCAATACATATGTTCTTTATATGAGATCAATACATAATGTTCTAAATAAGCAAATAATTTAAAAAGTCAACAGTGAAAGCACTATATACAAATACAAAACAATACACTGTATAAATATTTCTTACAAATATAAGATCTTATTTAATAACATGAAAACTGTACATCGTTCTCTACTCTTTCTGGTAAATCAAGTAGCTATAGCCACTTCATTAAAAGGTACCAAGGTATAACTTTTACAAACTAAACATCTTTATCTATTGCATATTGTTTAGATGTATGTCAACCCATTACTTCCCAAAGTCCTTGCAGTGTGAACCCATCTTTTAGTTTCTCTATTGCAAGTCCTAGTTCTTCAGAAAAAACAGGTTCACGGTCCTGTTGCTTTATTTTCCAGGAAACAAGAGAACAAGAGAGAAAATGCAAGCAAAACAAAGGTTAATATTATTAGTTTATGGAATAATACATCATTCAATTTTATTTTTAAATAAAAGCATTCTTACCTTGTTCCCATCAGCGAAATAGGCCTGCAACAGACAAGGTAAAAGTAATTGTCAATGAATTGTTTAAGTATTAAAGATTTGTTAATGCAAATACAGGCAGCATCATAGTTCAATGAAAAGCCTGCCGTTTTCTGTTATATCTAAACTGGTTTTTTAAACCATGTTTTGGCACTGTTTCATTTTTTCCTTATTCCATATTGTATTAATACCTTCATTTGTAATCTAACAAACAAAAGAAACAAGTACTTTTTCTTTGCAACTCTGCATCTATTCAATACAGTAGTATTCAACAAAGTGAATCCATTTTCCTACCTGTTTTCAAATTCAATAAAGTTTTTATTTTGCGATGCATTGACTAAACAGTTTTGAACAATTAAAGCAATTCACTTCAGTCTAATACACCATGGTAACATGTTTTTATTTATTCTTTATGCATAAATGTTAGGATTATCTAAAACAGTACAGAATGTACTAGTATTATGTCTTAGGTGAGTTTCAAGCTAATATTAAAACATCCACATGGAAATCAATGAAAAAGTAGGAAGCTGAAAATATTTAAGCAAAATCATCAGGCAGTTTTTAAAGTAGTACAATATAAAGTTGAAGAAGATATATGGTCATATTTTGAAATATGAAAAATTAATGTCACTTGTTAGCTTCTCAGACTAGATGGCCCAGAAGGCCCCTTCTGACTCACTGTTTCTATGTTTCTCTTGGGAATACAAGCTAACCACTTTTTGAATATGATATAGTTCAAATTTTTTAAGTATGTTACAGAGCAATCCCATGGTACTTAGGAAAGTATCACAGGAACCATAGGTTTGCTTGGAAACATGCTCCAATGTTAGGAGGAGGAGCTGAAAATCTGCCCCTTTGCAACGAACACAGAAAGAACCATGCTGAGTGTCCTCTCAAGATCAGAAAAGTAACTTCAGAAGAAGAGGAAAGGGGGTATTCTGGTGGAGCAGGCAGAGATCAAACACGCAAGAACATCAAATACCCTGAGTCTCCTCCAGCCTGTTCCCTCCCTCCTCCAGCGTGTCCTCACTAGACGGGAAGGACACACTACCAGGCAACCATGCATAAGACTGGATACATGCCTTGAAGAAAAATGTTCAAAGGTTTATTATTTTTCAGCAGAACCTTACCACAAAAGCATCTGTCTGCTCATCTGCTTCTATTTCTACATCATCCTGTACCTGCTCTACTGTCAGATCTTCTAGCTGCTGAGGCTGAAAATGAACAAATGAAATGAAACAATCTATCAGCCTAAATCAATTCCTTTATTCTTTTAAACAGAATAAGTAGCTAATTTTCATTTTCATTTTTGCAAAGCTTTATTTTAAAATTGAAATACCTTTTCTTCCATTTCATAATCCACTCCAAATATAGGATTAACAGAGAATACTTTATGCAGTGAATTTATTTCTTTTGCTGTTCCCTCTAATTTTTCAACTGGGTCAATCTTAAATCCAAGCACATAACCACCAGTCTGCAAGAAAGTAATACATTAAAATAAAATATCTCATAGTTATTAAACATATCTAAATTAACCAAATCCAACAAAAAAGTTTTGACTAACTTTCATGTACATTTTTCAGTGTACCACTTCTTAGATAAGACACAGTCAGCCTGGCATTAGAAAGGTAAGATAAACTGATGGAACGCATGCTCAAACTTGTAGTCCATTCAGATACAACAATTTTTAGAGCTCCACCAACTTAGGCTACAGTTCTATACACAGTTACCTGAAATACACCCAATTAAACTAAATGCGACATACTTCTGAGAAGACATGTATAGGATTGCACCGTTGGTACAGTGTTGCAGTATACAGGGTTTAGTGTCACTCATTTTTCATGAACGGTTATAATTTAAGATCTTGCAAAGGTGACAGAACAATCCTAGCTTGAGAGTTATTTGTAAACACTGATCTCATTTTAGCTGTAGCTTGGGAAATGAAACCAGTAATGACATGTGTGTTTCTGAAGTAATTTCTTCACAAACAGTCTTTCTCTAAGAATTACCCAGAAGCAATTTAGTTTAGAACTGCAGCCTAAACTTTCACAGGAATACAATGCTCAAAAATAGTAAGTGACCAAGCTGATATGATTGGTGTCTCACTCAGAGGTTTGATTGGTCACCTGGTGGTTATTTATCATGGTCATTATCTGGAACATTCAAAACTCAGTCATTGTATTTGTTAGCACTATGATGACATCCTAATTAAAACAGCAATTTCCATAAGGTTAAATATCTCAGAGTATGGATGTTTGATGGAAGACATTAAAAATGAATTTTAAGTTTCAAATGGCATAATAATGGAAGTTAAAACATGCTACTGATGTTTCTTACCGCCTGAGAGCTTTCAATGACAAGTGCCAAGCCAAATTTTGAGTCTCTAATCTTTACTGAGCGCTTGTAAAGTAAAAACAAACAAAGCAAGGGTTTTTGTTGTTAAAATCAAGTTTCCTTTAAATGTGATCCCTTAAGAGAATTAACTAAAAAGACCAACACCAACTTCCTGAATTATTCTATTTCCAATACTTTGTAATTATAAAAATACATTTTTTGGTACAGAAGAACACCACAAATGTTGAACAACATGTGAAAAAGTTTTGTAAATTTGGATCAGTATTTCCTCTTTGGCTTGAAAGCTATAGTATTTTCAACTAACAGTACAGTGATTGTCAAAGAAACCAAGTAAACTGGCTTTGTTTTTAAACAGCTAGTGTGGCACGATGATTAAGAGTGTGAACTATGAGCCAAAGTTCCCACTTTGTAAACGTTTAAGACCTTTCACTGAATGGCCTGGGATAAGCCACTATCTTTTGACCTCTCCTCCCCACCTGTAATATGGGCCTGCCCTACAATCCTGTTGCAAAGTTCATTCGGCATGATTTAAACACACATGCACACCCACCCGAGAAGCCCAGGGGGCAGCGGGGAGGCATCATAATCAGAACTGTATCATGTGAGAAGGGGATCTTTATTCCTACCCATCCCAGACACAATTTCACTGAAAACTGCCCACAACACACATGCACACAAACTGAGATTGCAGCTATGGAGGGAAGTCTTAAATAACCTTCTTGCAGACCAAGAATAATTGCTTCCCACCATGGGCCTATTTTTAAAAATCTTAATGATGTAATTGTAATCACTCTGTTAGCATCACATGTACTTAGGTCCCAGACGCTAATCTTAAAATTATCCCCTATGTCTGTCTTCCCCAGACTGTTGCCTTCCAGATGTTTTATACTTCAACCCCTACCAGCAGCAGCAGCAGGAGTACTGGGACTTACAGCCCGAAACAGCTAAAGAACACCAGGCTGGGGAAGGTTGCACTTTGCTCTCATCTCAACCAAGCAGCATTACCGATCCATCAGTGAATGGCTGAACATGGAAAGCATGATAAAGGCATAGTAAATAGTGTATGCTTCAGAGAAGTAATCTAGTTCAGGGCTCTCATATGGAAGACACCAACTTCCCTTTCACCATCTGACTGAAAGATCAGTCATTTTAACAACCAGAGAAGACATGCCCATATCAGTTCGAGAGTTTGTTAGTATTGTCAGGTATATATCAATATTCATTAATTAAATATTCATTTTGCCAGGTAAGCCATACTGCTTATATAGACATATTTTACAATTAAAACAATGCAATCCATATGTATTAAAATTTGTCTTAAATGTTTACTGCGATATTATGGTACTTACAATTTGTAGATATGGTATACTGACATTAAAGCTGTCATTCATATTAGCATGCCAAACCACTCTTACATTTGTAACAAAAAAAGTACCCAGATTTCCCTATGAAAGAAAGAAATTAAAATTAATTTGGATTAGTCTTCTATAACTCCATATTATGTTTTCCTCCATATTATATAAAATAGCAAATTTCATTTGGTAAAACTATCACTTAAGTAACCTTAACTTAAAATTAATCTTGACCAATTCTTGACCCTAAAGTTATTGTGGAAGACTTGTTACCACAGCAAAGCATGGTGAACCACATACTGAAAATAATACGCACATTCAAGGATAAAGGCATGCAAGTTAAAATTAGTAATCCCAGAAATATATGCCAAAGTAAAAGCAGCAGTATCCAAAAAGAACATTTTGATTCACAAAACTAGTTATGTGACTGTTTTCCTTTATGAAAAGGAAATTAAAATCATTATACATTAAAATCACCATTACACTCTTTCGCATGCTGAATGGTTGTAGGCTGAACCCTGAGAAGCCCAAACTTATGGAAAAGGAGCACCTTATTCCTCAAGGTTGGGGAATACTCTAAAACAGGGTGCAGTGGAACAAAGCAGGTTTGCAAAGAGGCACCTTGTCCCAGCAGAGCTTCATGCACAGCAGAGATGCCTCTGCCCAATTTTAGTCAAGCTGGCCTCCTCTGGCAGCCTCCTTTGCCTCATTTCACTTTGAAGGGACCTCTCACTTCCCCACGTTGGGGAAGGCAGAAAGAAAACCCTTTCGTGACCATCCTTCTGGTCATGGTTCTCAGGATGCAATCCTAGAAAAGCAAGGTTGGATTTGCACACTTACTTCTAATCAAAGGTTTTCTAACTACTAGAAATTCTAAGGAAATGAAAACCTTAAACATTTTATTTAAATATCAGTTGGATAACATTTTAGTAAAAAAAATTAAGAGTATTTTGGACAAGAACGAAAAGGCATTGTCTCAAATGTTTATTACAAGTTACAACCCAACTAATGGTAAAAATAATTTACCTCTTGTAAGCATCAGCACAATGCTTCCTTGAGATAACATCACAACACATCATGGGATAATCATTACAATTGTCATACCATGGGATAATTAGTGCATTGCATCACAATAAATACCACAGTCCTGCAAACTGAGCAGCATTTCAGCCAAGTTCACACGTTTTCAGGAAGCCAGCAAAAAAGCAGTACTATGTCCAACTGGCACTGCAAGTCAGGCCTACTGTCATATAAAGGGTGGGCCATCTAAACCCTCTCAAAAGTCTACAACTGAGAGAATGAACACATGGTTTCGGCTCTTTTGTCCTCAGAACAATACCAGTCAGTTTATATTTCAAACTATACTATTAAAAGCAATTTAGGAAAGGGCTATTTTACTGATGAAAAGGCACTTGGATCTATTTGCAGATGTGGCTCAGACATTTCTCTGCATCAGTGTACAGTTGTACATATTGTTGAGAATATATTGTTGCCACACCTAGGTTGTTAAGCAACCCGCCTTTCTCTCTGATGGCCTTCTGCTTTACCATTAAGACTTTTCTTTTCACAAGCATTTTAAAATGGTGTTTGATCTACATGAAGTTGTTTAACTCTTTCCTCTGTGTGTCCCTCATTACTGAAACTGTTATATATGTATTTTTTAAATTACATTTTTGTTCTTATACTGTTTGTTACTGAATTGTTATTGGTTGTGTTGTGTTCTCTTATATTCTTATATTGTTGCTGCTAATGCCGATTTATATACTGTATATATATAAATGAATATATATACAGTATTTTATTAATATAAATTACTATGCTATGAAGATTCCACTAAACTGCACATAATTTCAGGTGGACCATTTTGGTGAGGTGTCCATACAACCCCATTTGTATGAAAGGAAAAAAAGACACATTCTTAACACCACTTACAGATCCCTTTCTTTGCATCACACTATACCTGATCACTAGATAAATTCCAGACGCCATTTATTTTGTCATATACTTGTTCTTTTGGAAGTAATCTCAACTGCTTGTTTTGAATTAATGCACATCTCAGTTTAAGCTCCCGGTACATTTTTGATGTTTCATAAGCTCTGGAAATAATGAAACAGTTTAAACATGTGTATCATTGCTTATTTTAAAAAACATATTAAAAGTTTCCTATTTGCCTTTTAATTTTGCTGTTCTGAAAAATAATTTGAGCAATAAAGATAGAATTATATTTAGAAAAAGAAAGCAGGTGGCAGAATGTACATTTTTTTCCACCATGACATGGCAGTTCTGATTCATTTATGCACCCACTGTTACGAACAATCTCAGGTAAGTGTCAAGAGGATTATAGCCAAAACCCAGCTACTGAGAAAGAAGAGTAAGGTTTCAGCATGCGGAAGTACAATACTTTTTTTTCATATAAACTAAGCGACACCCCCATGCCCAAAACACAAAGCCCAGTGAGAACTGAGCATACCCAGCAGCCACTGCCAACTGACTGGCAAGTGTAAAGGAAAACTGGGAGACCAGGCAATGGTGGAGGGCACAGCTGGACAGGACCATTCCTATCAGGAGGTAAGAATACCCTAAAATATTTTATCACAGGTTCTTCCTTGTAATGAACTTAAGTGGTCGACAGCTTCTTGGTTCCGACATTAAACAGTGCCCCTCCAAAAAGGTCTAGGAATTCACTAGGCATATATATGAACGCATATCAACTGGTTAATTAAAATAATATTTCAGAAAACTCAAAATGATGTGAAAGGAACTTCAATCTTCCAGAATGTGTAGAATGTCGATTTGGCAACTGAGCGAGGGAAACTGGAGAAGGTGAAGAGGATGATAAGGAGGCTTGATCTTCAAACAGAGGTTTGGCTTTGTACACTGGCCTATTTGCATGCCATTACCAAGCTATATTACATTCCAAAATATGTTCAAAGCTTTCATTCTGAAAATTTATGTACTACATGCAACCAAACCAATTTCATTAGAAGTGTTTTGGTGCACTTTTCCTACTTACTTTAAATATGAATTACTTTTTTTTAAGCTCAAGTACCTGTGTACAGCAATAACTGAGGCAAAAAGTCTGGGGCTCCCAGGAACCACATTCGTAAATATGAATTCAAAACGTGTATTGTTACATTTGGTTAATATATAAAGTGCTTCTGTCTGGCCCCTTAATTTCTGTAAGAGAAAAGCATGAGATTTAATACTATAATATAAATCTTTCTTAGTTTTCAGTATACTGATTTAAAAGTGTGCCTAAAATACTATCATACACAGCTGTGCAAAATTTAGCTTCCGTTTGGGTAAGGCATACAACTGCATAAATATTTAAATTCCTTATCAGTCCTATTGCAAATGCCTGGTATGAGTAACAACTAAAACTGAATATATAAATTATTTGTTCAATACAAAGTATAGCATGTAAAAGGTCCACTCTTCTATCATACCAGACGCCAAACTAAATAAAGCACTGGATTGTAACGTGTAGCATTTAGCTGTTGGCAGTTCTCCAGGGGAAAGGAGTTCCACAGCTCTAGTGTAGCCAGCAAGAAAATCACTAATTCAAATCTCGTTTCTTTAACTTACGGAGTTAGCTGTTCTGGTTGTTGTATTCACAAAGCAATTGTAGCCAACAGCTAAACAATTCAGGAATAGAAAAATAATATTGTTAATGTCATTGTGTCCCAACTTCTGTATGGCATATACAATAAACCCCCATAAGTCTGAAAGTTGTGAAATAGTTAACCTCAGTACCGAGATGTAGTAATTTGCTATCAGAATGCTTTAGATGAAGTGACAGTATGACGTATAACCAAGCATAACCCTCAAAACAAATAGGCAAGTTCTCAACTGTCAATTAACAGTAAAACAAAGCAGTATTTCTTCTTCTTTTTTTTAGAATGCCACGTATCCACAGAATTTTCCACAGTAATTTAAGAACATTTCTTCAGAGTACAATCCCATGCATGCTTAGAGAAAAGACCTACAACATCCAGTTGTGAGTTGCGTAACTTTTTTCTGCCCAAATTTACATAGCATTATACAAAAATGAGTAATTTATGTAGGAATAATTCATAATCTTATTCAATCAATCAATCAGTCTTTTTGTACTACTTTATTATTAGATTGTATGGATTGTGCTATCTATTAAAAGGTCATCAAAGCAGTGTACATTTTAAAACGATAAAGCTGTAAAACAATAAAACAAAGATACTACAATTGGCAAAAAAAGCATTAAAATATTAAGGGCACAATCCTATGGCCTTCTAAAGTCATCTGGGACACAACAGTATTATTCAGAGCTCCAGCTGCAGCCAGTGCAGAAAGGAGTATGGCAGCTGTCCGCCTGCCAAAGTTACAACTGAGCTTTGGACAAGGAAGAACAGGGCACCCTGTGTTAGCAGGAAAGGAAAGAAACTGGGGGCAAGGGCTTACACCATTTTCTTTTGCCCCCCAGCTCCTTCCCATCCCCTCCCAAAACAGCCATCTAGTTAAAATACAGAGCATGAGATGTGGTAGCAACAGAGGCCACTCTTGCTGCACCTCACGCATGCAGAAGATGCACAGAAAAGTATGAGTACGGATGCTTATGTATAATGGGTTGCAGAGTGCTGGATTATGTCCTAAACCAGAGTGGACTGAAAAAACAATGATTAGAAAAATACAATGGATTTTAAAATTTTTAATTAGATTTTTAAAAATAACTTGCTCTTTGAGGAAAAACTATCTAAAGATAGTTTAAGATATATTAGAGCCCAAAGGTTATTCATCATTTTGCAGATTGTGTCTAACAGTAACAATAAATTAGCAACTGAGAGCTGCTGAAACATACAGAGCATTGGTTGAAAACAAAAGTACTTTGCCATCACTCAAGCAGTACAGAAGCAAGAAGCAAGTTTTTGTATCATCCTTACAGATTTTTTTAAGGAACAGATTACTTACAAAGGTTGACTCTAGGAAGTACGATAGAGTGCCAAATAATTCGTAAGTTTGTTACCAAGAGTCTGCCTGAAAATTTAAAATAGCAAACTTTAACCAGATAACTCACAACAAAATAATTATAATATTGGAGAGACAGAAGACAGTTAAAAGCTATATAGTCCAATTCCATGTATTCCTGCAGGAACTTCTCCATCCACTAGCCTACCTCATATATTAATGACACTTAAGAAAAGCAAAAAACTTTATATAACAAAACAAGTGGGACCTAGAACAAAATGCAGTGCTCCTGTTCAGACTGTCAGCCAATATATCCCTTTCTAGGATATTCCATATCATTCTCTTTCCTCCCCTCCCCACAGCTTCCCATTTTCTGACATTGCACTATATGTACAGTGAGCATATGCAGTCCTCACTGGACTGTTTTGGAATTCTACACATACACAATGTAAGTTTTTTTGGGGGGAGGATTGCACTTTTGCAATATTTAGGGTTCTCCCAAACTTGCTGATATCACCCTCTTCTTTGTTGATGGTACCAGTCGGACTAAATAATAATTCACACTTGCAGAATGGGTTCAGTACTAGTATATATGCTTTCAAGGAAGATGAACCATACAATGCTTGTAGATGAAAAAAGCAAGTTTTCCATGGGAAAATACTACATGTTTTAGGACCTACCTACATACTGTGCAAATCAGGGAGAAGAGAGGAAAGAGGGTAATCCTAGCTCAAGACTCGTTAATTTGGAGGAAAGAATATACAGGTGGAATATAAATATTTTAATAAGAACTATGCTAGATCAGACCAAGAATCCAATCTCATCCAGCATTCTATTCATATTGTAGCCAAGCAGTGGCCCTTGGAAACCCACAAATAGAATCTGAGTGCAATAATACCCTTTTGCTCAAGTTCCCCAGCAATTAAATGAATAAACTAGTGTACACACTGCTTCTGACACAGGAGGTAGTATATAGCCATTAGGACTAGTAGCCACTGACAGACTTAGGCCATGATTTTGCTGTTTTGGTGGCCCTCACTACATCTTCTGGCAGTAAATTCCATAAAATTATAATTTATCTGTCCTGAATTTCCCACAAATCAGTTTCATGGGATGATCCCAGATTCTAGTAGTGTGACAATCTTGCAGATCTAATAATAGCAAACTCCATGGTTGAGCATGTTGGAGGCAAACTAGGCTCATTCAAAAGTATGGTAGCGGCTTTTACAAACTCAGCATTATGCAGAAGTATGTAAGATCGTGAATATTTTAAAAAATACATTTAAAAACTCAAAAAACTGCCTGAAAGGAAACCTATGGCCCCTGAGAGGGAAAACAGTCTAAAAAATTCATTGGTTTTGCAGATTGTGTATAACAATAACAATTCATTTGTGGCTGAAAGCAACTGAAACATGTTAGAACATTGGTTGAAAACAAAGGTATTTTGTTATCACTTAACAGTACAGGAGGGAGAAGCAGGTCTCATCCTTTCAGTTATATACACAAGCATTCTTTACCATTTTTTTAAAAAAAATCTTTTAAAATTAAAAGCTAAAAAATGAGTTAGTTTAATCTCTGAAGATTTTCTTCTCTTGCAGGAATTTTCTTCTCAATTGCACTGAAATTGTAGGATGCAGAAAAGTTTATTTATCAGAAATAAACAACCATTCCTGATCCAGTTTAAGTGTCACTTTGGATCTTACATTCCCAGGTTCTCCTTCACTGAAATATCTGTGGATTGAACTTAAGCAAAACTAGACTTTAACAAAGCACAAAAGAAAAATGTTTTCTTTTTCTATTTGAAAGAAATGTGGTAGCCTAGAAGACTATAGGTGAGATCTACTTAATAGGTGCAACCTATATTTATATAATCCAGAAATCTACACTTCCAGAGTTACCTTTCTCTCCATTGTTTCCTTTGGTATCTTCAATAGGATCCAAACAGTCAATGAGAACTTCTCCTGGTCTCATTTTCATCTGCCTATAACAGTAATTATATTTTTAGATACTGCCTCAACTTATGGCTTGCTTTTATTTATGTGACCCCAATAAAGTCCAAATGAAACATTCTGGGACAATAAAGCACACAAAAAATACAGGGTCTCTGATGACTCTGAAATGATGTCAATTTATTTATTGAAAGCATTATTACCAAGCTCTTCAATCCAAAAAAGGTTGCCTGAGCAATTAACATAGAATAAAACCTTCCTGATCTCAGATTTACAGACCTGGTTTGCTTGTAATGCCAATACATGGGTTGTTTAACCCATGAATTAGTGAGATGACAAGCAAAGATTCTATGGCCTAACCCTTTCCTAACCCTAACAGTAACCCTCCCATGCATTAATTGCTTCCAAGTTTAATCAGAGTAAATCAATAAACCAGAAATACTCCATACCTGGGTTGCCTGATGTGACATTCAAACCAGAACTCTAGATCATTGTAGGATTAAGCAATCAATGGGTGATGGCTGGATTAAATTCTAATTTTTTAAATTCTAAATAAGCTAGTGTTCCAGGTACTGAGATCATATCGACATTTTCAAAGCTATTCAAAATGAAGTGGTGAGCATGCAGCAGCAAATGTGTTTGATTCACTGCTTGTGGCCCCAACAATCCATGGTTTAAACAACCTATGGATTGTCATTATGTTTGAACAAAGCCTTAAACTAATAAACATAATACAAAAGGGAAATTGATGGAAGGGAAGAGGAAAAAATCTCAGGCACTAGTTAATTGCATTATTATTCTCATTATTAATATTTTCTTTCTGGCATAGAAGGGATAAGCAAAATCTCAGCTGTTATTTTCCTGGCCCATGTATGGGACCAGGTTGGTCTCCCTTTTGATACTATGTTATTTCTCTGAGATCAGTGTGCAGCCTGTCCCTTGGTCCCCTTGCCAGAATGTGCTTCCTTTCAGTTGTGAACAATAAGAAACTATGCAGTTGCATAGCTACAAGTCAGATCTACTGTGCCCTAATTAATCACATTCACATATATACATTTGGCATGAATACAAAAACTTCATATATCTAAATTGGGGGTCCAAAAATGCATTCCCTCTGAGGGGATTCAAATACATTCAGTGTTAGCAACAAAAAAATTACTTCAATTTTGAAAGAAAGAGCTTATTTAAGAATTTTTTTTTAAGTGTCATGCTCTCACAAAAATAAACAGTGTAAAAGTAGTCACATCTACAAGGTAAGTAATTTCTCTCAGGTCAGTTAGTACAACCATAATTCATGTGGTACATATTTACTGACTAGGTCACAGTCAGTAGTTACTGGAAGTCTGAAACTAATTGCAGGTCAGAGCTTTATTGAGGTCAGAGCCATCAGCTTCTTTCCAAAATATCAGCTGCACAAAGATACCACATTTTAAATTTGATAAACAATCAATCAGTCAGAAACAAAGTAGGCCAAGAACTTTTACATGGTTTTCTCCATTTTTCCTTCCTCCAGTGAGCTGAGAAAATGCCCTACATGTCCCCTTTACTTTCATTACAGCAACTGTGTAAGACAGGAGCAGCTGAGAGATTAGCAACTGTCCAAGACACCCACTAAAAGGATATTAAAAAGAGTCAAAGCTAGATAGCATCATTTATGTATTAGATTTATAGCCTGCCTTTTTTCCTTCGAAGAAAATCAGAGCGGCTAACATAATTCCCCTCCTCTCCACCTTATCCTTGCAACAACAGCCCTGTGAGGTGGGTTGGGCTGAGAGTCCCAGTGAGCCGCACGGCTGAGTGTGGCTCGAACCGGGTCTCCCGGTGCATAAAGAGACAAAGGATGCGAATTACAGCTTCCGCTAAATCGTTCTCGAGTTACGTGGCTGGAAATACGGAGACCAACCGCGTCGAAGGGTTTTAAACGGCAGGGCAACGAGAAGCTCCACTGCGCCGCCCGCACATCTTGCTCTGCGCAGCTGCAAAGCAAAGAGGGCAAACCACGGACTTAGGGAACAAAATACTTGTGTGAAGACCCCGACGTATTAAAGCTTGAGATTTTGTGGCTGCCCAGTGGCGACTGACGTTCGCGGGTGGCTCCTCTCCTTGCCCGTTAGGGGGCATCGGGGGGCCAAAGGCATCAGCGGCTCCCCTCGGGATGGCCCGGCGCTCGCGCCTCCGCTGGCCTGCAAACACGCGTCCCACACGGCGAGACCTGCCCGCGGCAGGCCGCCCCGGCGCTCGCGCGAGAACACTCACTGCGCGGAGATGTCGAAGCGGACATCCCGGTCCTCCCACAGTGAGTCCGCTGCCGCCGCAGCCGTAGCCGCCATGGCGACCGCCCACCCTTCCGCGGCGTCCGCACGCTCTTCCTTGACAACGTCGCGACCGGCGCCGACAAGAGACACACTTCCTCGGCGCGCACGCGCTTAGCTCCCTCGCCGAGGCAGTGGGAGGCGGGGTGCTGCCGCCAAGCCTTTGAGAGGGCTCGCTTTGCCTAGTCTTCTTGCCGTATTGGGCGTCAAGTGTATCGGAGATCCCTCCACCCTGCCGGAAAATAAAAAGTCCGGAGGATGCCTGCTGTTCTGTCTCCCTGGCGCTTGTGAAAGACGGCTTTGCTTGTCGGGTGGCAAATAAGCTTCTTTCCTAGGCAGTAAGTAGCTCCACGAAAGCTCAGTGATGTATTAACCTTGGAGCGGAAAGATTTCAAAGCTCCAAGAACAACATGGAAGAAGCAAACCCCTAAAACTTCTAGCATACCCATGTCAGGCATGCATCGAGGACTCCCCCGCCCCGCTAGAATAAAATTCCGTAGGATTGGTCCTTGATTCTTGTATTGCCTTACAAGCTAACAAATGTAATGTGCCATGAGCCACGGTTCAGATGACCCTGCTTCATCAGATGCATGGTTTAATGATTAAGCCGTCTTGAGATGCCATGCATAAGGGAAGGCATATAAAAAGAGAGAGACAGAGAGAGAGAAAGGGTACAGAGCAAGTTTAAGGTTTCTATGCTGTACATAAGGTGCATAATGGGGATAATTATAGTGAAGCCAAAGATTCTGAATTTAATCTTCTTCTACCCCTACTGCTTAGAATCCTCACACATGCACCATCGATTATCTAGAACTTCTGTAACACTATGCATCTGATGTAGTCTACAATCTTATGAAAACTTGTGCCACAGAAAGGATGCAGTCCTATGTACGTTTAGAAAGAAAATGTCCTACAGCTTGTAGCATTTGCCAGCTTGCCAGACAGCCAATTGTAGGACCTTGCTTGCCTAAACATGCATAGGATTGTGTCCTAAATGTGCAATTCTTTCAGGTGCTACAAGACAGATTCTGCTGCAGCAGACTAATGTGGCTACCCTCTGGAATTAAAGTCTCTGTTTTTAGTAGGTTACCAACTGCAATCAGGTGCAAAACCTCAGAGCAGGCACCTCTATTAAAACAGTCTGTTTTGGAGTATTGTTTTCAGAACTGAGCACACAGTCATTCTGTTTAGAAAACAACTCCTAGTTTCCACCATACATACATTCATTTCAGCAATTTAATTCAGAGGATTCAGATAGCCTTTTTGATGTTGATGCTTTCCAATTGTTTCACATATCCTTGATAAAAACATTCTTTTTAAAAATACACACTTTCCAAGAAAATATTGCCAGTTGCAGCACCCCAAAACACCCCAAAAGTAATTGGCCAGAGGAAGGCCCCAAAAATAGTTGGCCAGAGGAAGGCCACATAGTAAAACCACAGTTATACTGTCCCAGAAGGGAGGGCTGATAACAACAAAATGAACTTTGTGTAACCCGCAGCTAACACGCTAGCCTGACCTCAAATACAGTAATCAAAGGGACAGTGGAAACTGGTTCTAGCCACCATGAAAGTTGCAAATATGCAGGGAATAAGAACATGGCAAGCCTGTGTGAATCTCAAGCAGATAAATAGACATGGGAAAGGTCTGGTCCTTGATGGAAGAAAGGACTCTTTCTCCAGCACGGGAGGGGGTGCATCCCTTGCTGTATCAATGCAGTAGATGTGTATTAGGTGACCTAATTGGCAACCTAAGGTATAAAACGCATGTACAGGGGTGCAACTTTGGAGACACTGCTTTGGGCTGAATGTCCCCTTTTGTCTCCCTCTATTCTATAGTGCACTAGAATAAAGCTGGTTTTGGTTCTAAGTCTCGTCTCAGGCTCCTTTTGGCTGGGTCTGGTCCACCCAGGTTTGCCCTAGCTGTTGACTGGCTGAGTATGGTAACAAGAACATCAATTAAACATTTTTGAATTAACTTACTGACTGATTTAAAACATATTTGCTCAGAAGTTTTGTTGAACTCCACAGAACTTGCCCTATTTACTACAGATATTACAGCATCCCAGAAAAGCGGTTTTCATTTGAATTATTTTTCATAGTTGCACTTTTTTCTCCATTTAATAGTTTATGGCTGCAGTAGTATTTATTTATATATATAGAGAGATGATATAGATGATATATAGATATGTATAGGTCAGCAGTGATGAACTTTCCAGCCTGAGGACCAAATTGTATTTTAGTGAAGCTCTCAGAGGATGTATTCTAGTAGCAAAAGGAATGGGACCAAAACTATCAAGTATTTTTGGTTAAAGATATGACCAGTAACTAAACCTTAGGAGGAACACTTCAAACTGTGAGGGAACTTCATAAAGGCCAGGAAGCCATCAAATAATTAGGAACTAGGGGGAAAGAGAAGGGATGGGGCCATTTTCCCTGCCCCTTTTCCTCAACCACTTATTAAAACCCCAGATGACCCAGATTTGGGCCTGAAGCTGAGTGTATGTGTTTATATAAAGAAATGAATTTCCCAGATTTTTCTGGACACACAATGAATACAGAAATAATCTATTACAAAAACATATTTTTAGGATTATTTAATTCACAAAAATACATTTCATACATTTAATGTGATTACACATTATGAACAAATAAGTCAACTGGCCAAACTGAAATCCCTTGTTGTTGTTGTTAGTCATGAAGTCGTGTCATTGCGACCCCATGGACAACATTCCTCCAGGACCCTAGGGACACATATAAGTACTTGATGGTGCAAATCCACATTTAAATACATGTATGTTTAGAAGGAGAAAAGGTACATAGCACCTGGCATACCTAGCTGTGGCATGCTGGGAGTTGCAAGACTTTTCTTTTTCTAAAGATGAATAGGCACCTGTATTAAATGTCTGTTACATTACATGAGGTTAGCAGAAATTGACATGTCATTTTGAAACATTTTGTGGTATAAGCTGAAAAATAATGGTTTTGTGATGCCATAATGGTACATACATTCTTATCACTTATATGCTGACTCATCAAGTTTTAAGATACAATTTGTTTAGCTTTAATATACAATTTGTTTAGGTATTATTAGGTTAGTAATACAGTTAATAATGCCATACTGGCTGCAGAAAAAGATTAAACTTGCAGTACCAAGGCTGAGCTGAAAAAGCTTTTTGTTTGTACACTGGACTTATGAAAAGATCTTTCATTTTATTTCAGCAAATGCTAATTTCTGTAGGTAAAGAGAGAAAATGCCACTGGGTTTGTTTAAAACAAACAAAACATCTGAAATCTAGTTTTATAAATTCAACAATTGTTTCAGAAAACAATTGTATCATGCAAACTATAGCATCATTAACTTTTCCTGACCTGATATGTAAAATAGATTCAATTTTTATGGTACTAAAATTCTAGGCCTTTGTTCAAAGTATGTCTGTTAATTCTGTGGAAAATACATGAAAGATGAAGGATATAGTCCGTGGGGATGCCTGTAACCCTCTGAACTTGGGGGATTATGGGCATGCTATGAAAGATAGGAGAAGTGTGGAAGCTAAAGTAACCTAACCCAGTTTTAGCTCTATAAGTGTGGCACTTCAGATTGGGAGGAAAGGAGCCTGCAGTGCCACTAGGATTCACTGTATCTGAACATGAATTTCCAGCAACAAGTTGGTGTCATTTTCCAATCCCATACCAGAGAATTTGAAAAATTGTATGACTGTTTAGCAACCATAGTATTGTGCCGTGCATGACTTAACTGATCATAAACGGATATACTTCCAGTTCATAATGAGGTGTGTATGATAACTGGAAACAGTCAGAGATAGTTTGACGCCAAAAAGATATCATATAACAAAATATGTAATAATTACTTTCCCAAGTGGACTAAGGAGTCAAATATGTTTTCAGAATTAACTGACGTGATCCAATCTTTCTTACTCAGAAGTTCCACTTTGTCTAGTGGGTATATTCCAAGTCAGTGTGTATAAAGTTACACCCTAAAGCAGTATCTGATTTCTATCCCTGAGTAACATTTACATGAAATTCAAACCTAGGTGGCTGTCCTCAGATGTTTAATCCAGAATAGTCCATAGACAAACAAAGCACGCCCTGTCAAAACAAAGTCTATAAGAAGTGACACCAGTAAATGCTTTAATATTTCAGAAGGCAGGTACACAGTGTTGCATTGACTTGGCAGAATTACACTAAAATAAGTAATTAGAAGATAGCATTCTGTCCTCTTGTTAATCGAGTACACAGATATAAAAAGATCCTGATACATACACATAAATTCACTCTTGGCTTAAAAAATAATCTGTTGAATTCTGCTCAGTAGACACTGATATTCATATCCTCATTCACATATCTGTAAAAGAGGGCAAGTTATATAATTTGTACCAATAAATATGAATCTATTAAGTCAAGCAAAATGAATCCAGTTGGTGTGTCCAAATCCTACTTATCAATTTCTACTTATTATCACCACTGTTTTCTTGGTGTAAGCCAGTATGCTATCACAACACCAATTATAATCAAGCAGTCAGCTTTGAACTATTTCTAATGACATTTGGCCTCTTAACAAACATGCAGTTGAAGGTCATGACTACAATCCAACAATGTGTCAGTGTCAGATGCAGCCAACCGCTGGAGCTTACTCGTGCATCGTGCTAATTTTCCTTCAGCAGCATCTTTTCCTGAATCTCCACGCTGCCTTTGATCATATACCACAAGGACAGTTGTGTGTGGGCAAAGGTCCTGACAGACTCCAACAAATCAGGGTTGGAGGTTACAGCCTAGCATCCATGTGCATCCTATGTGCATTAAAGCCAGTTTTTGCTTCTGCTTTTTGAACTGGTTGATGGAAGGATCCTCCCATCTAAATGTCTTCTACCATTCACTTCTTTTCTGCCTTGCCCAGTGCTAAGTATCTGCTTGACTGGTTTTGGAGAGCCTCATTCCTTAGCTGTAAATCTGGGCAGAGAGATAAGAAAGATTCCTTAAGGTCACTTCTCCTTCTCACCAGCTTTACTTTCTTGTTTAACTCCAATCCTACTCAAAAAGGAC